ACCTTACTAGAACAATGCATTTGTATAATTCTTTCTGGTTTCACACCATAATGGCAACAACCGTTGTATTAAATAAATGTTAATATTAAAAATGCCATAAAAACAAAAACAAAGATAGGAACCACATATGAATAGCGACAATATAATATGTAGGTATGAAATGTAATCGCATTTCCGTTGATGACCTTTTTGTACATTATTTTTCCACTAAGCTAGCCGCCCCTAAATAACAGCTTTTTATCATGCACCCAACACTATGTAAACAACAAATAGAACTTAATACTTCTGATAACTGATTTTGTGTAGTCTAAACTAAGCTATCTTAATGCTTGTTTTGTGAAATTTGACACTATAGTTTCTACATAACGTAAGTCTTATACTTGATACTACTTATACATAAAGATGAAGAGGCTGTTTCTTATGAATTTTATTTTGTTTGAGTTTGCGTTAGATTACTCTGGAAATACCAGTTACATTTAAAGAAAATTGTATTTTATAGCCCATCTTTGGGAAAGGTCTTTATGGTAGTGTCTATTATCATGCTGTGCCCCTTAAAAATGAAGCATACATGAATATTGAATAAACTACTTGAGCGAAATGACAGGAAAAAGCTAGTTTGTTATGAAGCATTTGATAAGAATATAGTGTTCAAAGAACAATAAATACACACTTTGTTACAAGGAAAAAGAATTCGCCCTTGTTATTACGAATAATACACACTTTTTTACAAGGACAAAGAATTCGCCTTTAAGTTAAGTTGAAACTATTGCGAGCGCATAAATTAACATAATTTATTTTTAAACATTGTAAGAACTAAGTTTGGATGGAGTGTATAGGCAGTTGAAGTATATTGAAGTGTTTCTTTCTAAACAGTATTAAAATATATAGTAATCCTATTATTCAAGTGCCGTGGCTTCTTCGGCTGCGTAACGACATAGAGACATAGAACACGTTATAGATCATTATCGACTTTAAAAAGTAGGTAGCTTTTATAAAACATAATAAATAATAATATTATTGCAACATAGGTTTTTTTTATGATAAAGCTGATAATATCAAAAGTCTACAATATACATATATTTATCGTTGTTTTTTTCAAATAACTATTATAGAATTTGATGTAATCTTTAGAGCTAAATATAAATCATTATATACCGTCTTTTTAATACTTTCTAAGATTTGCGCGAATATTTGTCATTTTAAATAAAACTATCTTTTCGGGATTTTTTCGCGAATTCATTTTGATTTTTAGTTCCCGACATTTCGAATGCTTTACAGCAATCATGGTCACAGAAGATGACGGGAGAGTCTCTCCCATGACCATGATTGCTGTAAAGCATTCGAAACGTCGGTAATCAAACATCAAAAAAAAAATACCGTTTTTTTTTATTAAGAATGACCAATTAATAAAGACTTACTAATACGATTTTACGACTAGATATTAAATGGTTTTGAAATATAAATTTATTACAAAAAATGTGTTATGTTCGTCAAGGAAATTATTGCGTTATTTCAAGTCAATGTTTTTTATACAGAAAATTGATTAAAGATTTTCCATACAAAAACTTTCAACCTTCAACGATAAATTAAAATGCATCCACATCACTTATAAACATGTATGAACTTCTAATAGGTAATCTAATAAGAATATTTTCGAAATATTACATTTTAGGCACTAAACATCGATTAGGTATACACTTTATAACTTAAGAGTCGATTCCTAATCGAACTCACATAAACATTGCACTATTTATGAGTTGGTTATTCAAGTGTAAATGGCACCTATAGTGATTAGATACTACATATTACGAACATTGAGATGATAAATAAGAAATTTTCTAGCGTTCTTATCTTTATTTTCCAAGGACATATTATAGATAATATTAATTAAAACTCGAATTTTGTTATTGTATTAAATATATGCAAATTAATATATAATTTTAGCATAACAATATTGCTTTAAACCCGCAAACATAATCTAAGATTCCAGTCTATGTGGTGGATCCCTCCCTCATTTTCCAGGCGAAATATATTGTTTTAAACAATAAAACATTAACAAACACGAGTCAGGAGGGTTCTCACTAATACTTACTTCAGGCTATTTTTAATTTAAAAAAAACGTGTGTGTGTACTTATGTACGCACGTAAAAAGTTATACTTCTTTGGCGTAATAGAATAAAAATAGCTAAAGATTTCATCCGTCATAACTCTCTGTTTGTAAAAAGAATGCAGCTAACTTCATCATGTCGCTTTCAGCTGTTTGTACTCGCTTTTTGGCTGTCGGTGTGCGCGCGCATCGTAAAAATTTTACCCTCATATTTTTTTCCAAACGTGCCAAAACAAGTATATCTTAAAAAAATAATTGTTTTTTTAAGTACATAAACTCTTTCCTTGGGACAACTTAGTATCAATCGAATCGTTTTATTATTTAAAAAATATATTTCGTCTGGAAAAAGAGTGAGGGGCCCACCACATAAATCGGGATCTCCTACTACTAGTTTTATCGAGATGAGTCATCCAAGCGTATATCATTCAAAATATTCCACGATAGAATGAAAGTATTAATAGATATTTTAATAAATGGAATATTTTTCTTAGGTCAGAGGTCAAAGCAGCGTAGCTGTGATTCAATGAGAACGCTCTAGAGTCGAGGTATTACAACCACAACCGGGACAAATTTGTCTCGTATTATTCACTTTACTAACAACTTCCTCGCGACAAGTGGAAATTTAGTGACAACTCGAAGCACGAACGGGGCGTAATACAAGTACATACATACTTGAATAAATCACTTATAGTTTCACATATTCTAAGATCATAATAAGATCTGGCAAATATTCTCTTGCTGCAAAATGTAATGCTAAACAATACTTCAAATTACATCACTGTGTCTAAAGCCGCAGATTCTATTACCACAGGAGGCAAAAGTTAATGCCGTAACTACCTACTGGGTTACTTATAGGGTATAGTATTGCGTTTTCTTAAAAGTAGAAGGTATTACTCAAAACTTGTGTATTATTCATTTTATTTAAAAATATTAAATAAACAGAATCTGTTTTTTTTAAACAAAATTTTAATTGTGCAATTATATTTTGGTGCAAAATGCAAATCTGTTGCAAAATAAAAACATTAACAATGCACGGTTAAATGTCAAGGATCTGATTTGAATGTATATATCTATTTAATTGTTAAAACGATCTGTTTGAATTTCTGTTATTTTTATCACGTAAACTTTTATTTTTATATTAACTGACCGTCCTGAATTTTTAATATTTACACTAAAGGTATTTTATATTTCCCAAAACAAAAATTAAATCTATACATATAAAAAAATTCTAAATGAGTCGAATCTTTACATTAAATATTTTTTGGAAAATACTATTGTAATAGTCATTATTATTTATTAATATCGATACAGAGGCCGAATATATAGTTTTTAGAACTTTGTCTGTTTGTCTGTGACCGCATCACGAGAAGACCACTGGACAGATTGTGATGAAATATTGTATGATGATAGCTGGTTATCCGGGTCAATATATAGGATACTTTTAACTGCGGGAAAATATCTCATCTCCGAGAAATCTACACTATAAGTTAAAACGAAACTAGAGACGGAACCGAGCGGAGCGAGAGTGAGTCGCTAGTGTATTATAAAAAATACTGCTGATTTACGAAATAGCACAAGCGACACACTGCATAATAAATCGACTCTACATGAATAATAGATGACTGAGGACGTAATTAGTTTAAGGGCAACTGTTATCTCAGCCCCGTTCAATGGAGTGCACTTGAAAATTTATATCTGTTGCCTATTTTGCATTTTTAATAATATTTCATATGTGTATATAATCAATATAAAGTATAATACGTTCTATGACATTTTGTTTTCTTACACGTGATAATTTAATGGAAACAAAGTTTTATTAAGAAACAAGCGATTCACCCTCGCTTCGCTCGGGTTCGTCCCTAGGTATCTTTTAATGGTTAGTATGAAATACAAATCTTTGAATTTCTCGGCTTTTCTGTACTATAATATGCATGTATTATACATATAAACCTTCCTCTTAAATCACTCTATCTATTAAAAAAACCTGCGTCAAAATCTGTTGCGTAGTTTTAAAGATCTAAGCTTACATAGGAACAGACAGACAGCGGGAAGCGACTTTGTTTTATACTATGAAGTGATACAATATATTCATATTAATTACTTCTTCTCTAACAGATGAAAGTTGAAACCATCGCAATTATACGAAAGAAACCGACAAGTTGGGCTACTATTAAAAATGTGAAAGTTCGTTCGTATGTACATATGTGTAGACCGGAGTAGCACATAGGCTAGCTACTGTTAAACAAGCGAGCGAAGCGAGGTTAAATCGCTAGTTTATACATAAATATTTTTCTCATTAACTTGTTCACGTGTATGACAATTGCTCATTATATCTCGATCATGACGAAACTACTTCTTGTATTTTATAACTTTAGTACCCTTAACCTAAGGTAAATTAAAGTAATCTAGGCAATTAATATTTCAAACCCCAAATATACTCACTCACTGACGTTAGATTGTATTTAGTTTATTTAATATTTCATTTTACAGAAATGTGCTAAGCACCTAATTTCATGTTAAAAATTTCACACGCAACTTTCAAGTAGGTTAGTGTAAAATATAAGCCTTATAAAAAGAAAAAAATTTTTAAGGTTTATGTTTATAGTAAAAAGACGGATACATTATGAAATATGTACATTTTAATATAAATGTATTTCTTACACATTTATAACATTTATAAGCAATGTATTAGGTTTTTGTGGTAGGTTGCGGTTAGGTTACGAATTACCAAATTGTAAGATAAAACTTGACTTGAATATTTGTTATCTTAGAGATCCATATCTCTAACAAAAACCGAAATATGATAGGTAGGCAAGTTAAAACATACAAAACAAGCAGATTACTCGAAATTAAATCATCTGTTGTTCAAGAAATGAACGGTTTAAAAACTCACCTCTTTAGACTGTTTAGTTGCAAACATGAAGTCTCCTTTGATCTGGAAGTCCTTAGCGTCCGCGAATAGCTCGTGAGCGTTTATCATATTGTTAGGATCACTGACACTGAGCACTGTGCTATTACCGCCTGGCTTCCATCTTTCTACGTAGAAAACCTTTGAAAACCCTGGCCCTGAAGACCAGAAAAAGGTTTTCACGTAGCTCTGTATCATTTGGAATGTCTTCCCGCCATCCGAGGTCATGTAAAGCTAAAAAAATAAAGTATTCTTAGCATTCTAATATATCACATCCCTATGTATACAACCATTAACATTAGTATTATATCCAATAAATATAAAAGCTAAAAAAAACTTTATATCTTTCATCACTTAAAAAAACTTTGATTTTTTAAGATGTTATGCAAACAAGAAGCTAACGAGCTACAAATGGTTCTAAAAACGTGATAAATTATATTTCACGTTTTTGTCGTGTTCTGCAGCACTAATTGTAAGTGGATTAACCTATTAGGACAAACTAGACACCAGCTAAATTAACTCAATTCTGTAGACTAATTATCTTTATAACGACTAAAGGTTATTCAAAAATCATTCAAAACCGTTACTCCTTTAGTAATTATGGAGTATCTCTGTATTAATTACAATATCCAATTCTTCAACATCTCGCTAATTTTTCAACCGACTTCTTCAAAAAGAAGGATTCGGCTGAATTTGTTTTTATTATGCGGTATAAACAACCAAGTGAGTTTACTAAAGATATGAAAAATAAATCTTTATTTAATATATTTAATAGGTAGATATAATCTATATTAAATAGATATAATTTAAGTATCTACGGCTTCATAATAGTTATTATTTTTTGTCTGTATGTTTGTTTATCTGTATATAATAATATAGTTTCTTTGTGTATATAGTTTGTCTGTTTGTCTGTATATAGTACTAAAGGGATTTTAAATAAATTTTGTCTAGTGATAACTTAATACTCGGGTCAACATTTAGGATAACTTTTACTGCAGTAAAATATTTCATTCCTATGGGAAAACACAGTAATAGTTCGGCTGAGTTCGGTTTCTCTATCATTATTATTTACATTTAAAATTTCTATGATTTATTACACAAAAACTATTAGTTAATAATAGCAGGTTGTAATAGCAGGGTTAAAAATCAACATAGGTATTAACAATTTAGTGCAATCTCAATCGCAGTGAAAATCCCTATTTTCATGGGAAAATTATAAAATTTACTTTGTCTTGTCTATGTAACTAACTGTGAAAGAACGATAAACGAGGATGGTTTGTGTATATGTTACTGTAAAAGCCCGTATATTGGTAAATCTTATATTTAATCTTAGGATTTGCTACTTCCTATCTTTATATATATAATTCTTCTGTGAGTGTGTATGTCACTGAACTTCTCTCAAACGACTGGACCGATTTTGATGAAATTTTTTGTGTGTGTTCAAGGGGATCTGGGAATGGTTTAGATTCACAATTTGAATAATAATTTTCATCAAAAAAATTATTAAAAAAAGTTTGAAATTTTCAAATTAAAGACGTGTAGACAGGACAACGTCTGTCGGGTCCGCTAGTAACGTATAATATACTATATACATAATATGTAAATATTTTGTAAGCGATGGGTGAACTATGACAGTGCTTACTGCTTTGTTAAAAAAACTGTTTTTGTACGTTGACATGATTAACGCTGTTTAAACCTTGAGAGAAGCATCAAAACAATATACCTACTACATTTAGAAAATTGTAGGCTTACCAAAAGTCCGTAATCGCATGTATATATTCAAGGTAAAATACACTCATAATAACTATTCTAACTATTCATGAAATAAGTGTAACTAGACAATATTTATAATTTTAATTTATATTTCTTGTAACAATTTTCGTTCGCGTAATAGATAAGTACATATGAATCATATCTTCCCAGTGTCTGTTATGATTAATGATACGATGTTATTCGTCATTACTAAATTGAATGTAATGCATTATCTATTTATGTATATACGAATGTCAGTCAATGCACTAAATCTGTTAGGTATTAACCGAGACCGGCACAATTACTATTATTGATAAATTAATTACGATATAAATTGATAAATAATGAATAAAAATTATTATAGACTGTTGAAGATATGAATTTTATTTGTATATACGCCCATTAAACGAGAAAATTGTTCAATACAACCGTCGTAATATCTTTCTAGTGGGGGTCAAAGCCGAGTACTTTTGCATAGTTTAAGTCTAATTGAATGAACGCAAGTGCGCAATTATACTATAGAAATCAGGTTAATCCTTACTAATATTGCAAATATAAAAGTATGTTTGTTAGTCCATCCATTAGGCATTATACTTAAACGAAGCAATTGATAGACCTAATTTTTACATGTTAATATTTAACTTCACATTTAATCTTGGAAGTCCCTTCTCTGCTTCTAAATGTCGTATCATTTTGAAACTTTATGAGTTGATGATCAAGATGACTGTACAATAATTCTATACGAGCCGATTTGATAATAAAACTTGAGAGTGCATATTAGGAGTTTAGGCTCATTACAATCATTTTAAGGAATCCACACATCTTACACTTGGTCAAAAACCTAGTTTATTTTTTTTAAACTATTATTTACATAGGTGATAGTTTATGAACGTAGATAGCTAATAACTACATTTCATTCCGATTCATCGAATTCTTCCTGTAAATGTTGGGAAATGCGCTTAGGCATACCACCTGTATACATACAGGTGGTTATTGTAGGACTCGCTGGCTAAAAAAACCAGTACTACCCGCTAAAATCCAACAGAACCTCCCCCGTCTAAAAGGGGCATCGCAGGACGCTTAATGCTTTACGCACCCAACCACACGCCCAGACGGCAGTGTCCTACACTTGCAGTGACAAATTGATAAAAAAAGGTAATATTACTTACGTTCCTAGTAGAGTTAACTTTATCCATAATAACATATCTGTTCGGAATATCTTCATCAAACGCAAGCTCGCTTGGATGAAAGTCGAGGTCCGATCGACGTATTGTTTTTCCATTGTCGTACGTGTAATACAGTTTCTTGTTTGTTGAATCGACGAATACGCACTAGAAATTTATTTACAGTTAGATTTCGTGATAATAATAAAATTGATATGATATGTTACAGTAAACAGTAAATAATACAATCTACAAAAACAATAATCTTTTCAACAGATAATGATAAAATAACAATTAAAAGACTAACATTAAATAATTTTACAAGCGAGTACAAAGAATTTACAAGCTAGTAGTGTTAAATCAAGTAATTATACCTTGCAATGTTCTTTAACTATTATAATTATGATTTCAGGTTATTAACATAACAATAAGCCAAAATATATTAATATTATATATAATACCTATATGAAGGTAAATATTAATAAACTTTTTACGCGGAAAACATAATATAGGGGAAAAACATTTTTCTTTTAGATGTTAAGTGAAATAAAAGTCAATGATCTACTAAAACCAATTGATTGATCCTTATTATCTTCTCAGACAGTTTAATAAGTAGATACATAAGCAATTATGAATCATTATATACTATGTATAGGTAATTATTTCCAATATTATAAAGCTGAGAGCTAGCTATATGAATAATAAACATTTTGATTTGTTAATATTGAGCAATAGTTTTTTTTTCTTCTGAAAATTATTATATTATATCTCGAAATAAAACTAAAAAACTTTTTTAAGTACTATTTTAAATGTTATTACCTACTATAAATGCAATATATTCTATACATATAATACAATTCTAACTAAGTCGAATCTGTACATTAAATATTTTAAGAAAAATCTTATTGAAATAGACATTATTATCGATACAGAAGCCGAATCCATTTTTTAGAACTTTTGTCTGTCTGTCTGTAACCGCATCAAAAAAAACTACTAGAGGGATTTTAATGAAATTTGGTGTGATCATAGCTGGTTATCCGGGTCAACATATAGGATACTTTTTACCGCGGGAAAATATCTCTTTTCTGACAAAAAATACAAAAATTGCATTGTAAGAGTACATATATAATACTAATATGTAAAACCTAAGAATTCGGTTTTTTGGTCATCTGAACGCGGCCGCGGGCAATGCTAGTACTATTATATAACAAGTAAAAACAACACACACACCGTATGTAAAGCCAGAGGCCAAAAATTTTAAAACTAATAATATTATGTCGACTACAAACATAATACTATATGAAAAACAATGCCTTTGAAAGTGCATAACAGACAAGGGTTCTCAATCTCATACTATTTAATTAAGCTTTGTTTTGCCAATTATGATCAATTGTAGTTACTATAAAACAAGTTTCATTTTTTTTATAATGAAGGTAGGTATGAAGTATTACCATTAACTATTATATAAGTAAAGATTGAAGTACATTAAAAAAAAATATTTTACCATTTATTAGTTATTTGTATAACAAAATTAAAAATGGAAAGTGGTAAATTTCTTTTTCTGAGTTTTTTAAAAGCCCTTAAACGAAAAGTTCCTATAATAAAACCCGGTAACGTGGCGGTTTTAACCTACTTAAGACTTCAATATGTATCGTATACCTATAACAAAACCACACGCTGTAATTTGACACAAGCGACACTTATTACATACATAGTTCAATGACTCGTACACTATTCAAAGATGCTTGTTATCAAAGATTTGTCCTTTCATATTAGATTGTATAAGTCATTAACTTGTTTTGGACAAAAGCTTAACGTTCGTATTTATGCCCTTGGGATAAAGTCATTTGCGATTGCTATGTTTGCCAAATTTATTTTCTTTTAAATTATTTCTGGCCATATATTATGTATTAAAGCTCGTTTAAGTCGAAAGTGTTAAACATTTGACTATAAATTTAATAAACTACTAATATTTTAAAAGATACTTACAAATTCTGGGTACTTTGGGTGGTTGAAGAATTTATCCAATTGAGCATAGCCACTATCTGGAGAGTCTCCCAATCGGAAACTTTCTGTTTTATTTGTGAAGTTTTTTCCATAATCATAAGAAATGTATAGAGCTGATGCAGAAAGTGCTCCTTTATTCCGAGAACTAGAATCTCTTGCCAAGCATATGATCACATTAGAGCCTTCACCAACCCAGTGTACCATTAACTGTTGATGGCTGTCATTTAGATGAGTAGTCTGTTGGAAAAAGTGATATAATGATTAGTACATAGCATGTATACATATGTAGGATAAAGGTAAGCATTAGACATTTTTTTTTAAATTCCCTGCACAAAAGTGACCTTAGATAGATCTTAATAGCGAAAGTTAGAAGAGGCCTTTGAAAATAGGCACATGGACATCAGAGACGTTATGTAAAACTTAATGTACTAATTTTTAAACATTCATGATATACTTTCAAATTATTCTTCCTTCATATTGTCTTACGAAAAGTTTATTTTAATGCCTATAATTTCTAATAGAGATTGGAATCCCACTTATAAAATATTTCAAATCAATACACTTTTCAATAAATTATAAAAAAGATTCATACAAATAACATGACATTTAACATGTTTTTAAGTCAGCGTCAGAGATCTCAATCTCTAACATAATAAATCTTGTTTTTTCAATCAACAAGTACCTGAGAGCTTAGCTCGTGTTTTGGAAAAGAATTAAAAATTGTGTTTATTTCAGAAAAGACACCTACATATATAAATAACTCAAAAAGCAACAACTTATCTAAATACATAATTTGATCCAAATCATTAGAACCATTTATAAGATACAAAAAATAAATTTATATATATACAGGAATTGCTCATTTTAACATTATAAGATATGTAACACAAATAAAACACATTGAGAGAGAGAATCATACCAATATGAAATTAAATAAATTGTTGATTATTTAGAGTCATATACAAGTACTATAATATATGTATACTAAAAAATAAATTTCTAAATTACATATTCAATTCAATATAAAAAGTTAATTAACAATAGCAGCATATTCCACAACATTAACCTAAATGGTTATTCTGAATGAATATAATTAAAAAGTAAATAATAGAGAAATACTTACATTTAATTTAAATTAATATATTAATTCATTTACAATTAAATTAAAATGACATAATTATTAACAGTTACAAAAGTATCGTAAGATAATAAGCTGGAATATAATAAATATTACACTATTAAAATATATATTTATGAACAAGTTAATAACAATGCTGAATAAAAAATAAAAATAATATAATTTGCCTTGACCTTACCAAATAGAATGTATTTACTAAATTCTTAAGAAATATATCTGCAAGTAATATTTCTATAAATAAATTTAAAACGAACTATCTGCCCTTCAACGCAAAATACAAAACGCATTTTACTGTGGATGACAATTACAATGACGCGGTAAAGATAAAAATAGAAAAAAGTATATACTTTCTTGTTAAATGTAAACATTTTATAGAATATCCGCTACTCATATCTAAGTAATAAACAACAAAATAAATCAATGTCATATTATGCGGGCAGTGAACGATAGGCAAATCAAAACAAAGGGGAGATATTGAATTAATAAGGAAATTATAGTTACCCATATATTGAAGTTTTTGTGGTCTTCTGACGATGGAGGCGGTATTGTCGTGGCATCGCGTTTTGTCCTTTCTAACGAATTACTATCTTTTTCTTCACCGAATCTATTTATTACAGTTATTTTTCGTGAGACCTCCGGCTCCGCCACGTAAAGTGTAACTCCCGGCGAACCATATCGTTGAACACTTAGTACGCACGAAATAATATTCATAAAAGCAAATAAACCAATTTTTAACCCTATTGACGCTAACATTTTGTCATCACTGCAAATCCAAATCCATCCGACTACGACTTTATCTCGAATAAAACTGCGCTTTGACTGATTTACCAAAACACAATGAATTGTCAATTGACAATTGAAAACTGACAGCATTTATCGTTCGATGAATGACAACTCATAACAAATAAAAACTATAGATAACTTCTAATAAGATTGTTTAACAAGTAGATTTTAAGGATTCAAATTTATGTATTAAGAACCTATTCAGAGTATATTATATTACAGGTATCTATATTTTACTAGCATTGCACGCAGCCCCGCCCGCGTTTTGATGACCAAAACCCAATTTCTTAGGTTTTACATATTAGTATACTCTTACATTACAGTTTTTGTATTTTTTCTCAGAAATGAGACATTTTCCCGCTGTAAAAAGCATGGATGACAAATAAAAGTAAAAAGTATCCTTTATGTTGACTCGGATAACCAGATATCACCATTGTATTTCACTAAAATCCCTTCAGTGGTTTTTCTGTGATGCGGTAACAGACAGACAGACAGACAGACAAAAATTCTAAAAACTATAGTTTCAGCCTCTGTATCGATAATCATGTTTAATTCAATAAGATTTTCTAAAAAATATTAAATGTACAGATTCGGCTTAGTTCCAATTTTATTATATTTGTATGGATGATATTTTTAAGACTAGAAACGGCCAGTACTATTCGAATGTTTTTATCTTAAAAATGGGGAAGAATTTTGCTCTTCTCTCCCACCAGATGTCGCGATCACTATAGCCCTCACATGGAGGGTAGAAGTAAGGAGGACCATCTCAGTGTATTAAAAAGTCTCCGTTGAAATGGAGCAAATTAAGGTGGCGCTATAGTAGCAAGTGAAAGAATTTTAAGACGAGCGCCACAAATTATTAGAGTAGGACATTAAATTAAAATAGGAAAAAAAAATCCGCTTTGTTACAGCGCATTTTTTTAAGTTATTATAATATACAGACAAACATAAATAATAATGGAATAAAATTATACAGTTTTTTTAAGTACCCCAATTATTTGTAAATTAAATTATTATTATTTGTAAATTATGTTAAATTTTTCAACCCAGCACATTTCACTCTGTTTATAACTACTAAATTCATATCATTTCCATTTCCTACACTAGCGCTATTTCGGTGAGTGTTCGAACAATAATTTGCTGTTTACAAGTTTACACTATCCCCCATATCCCATCCCCCCACCTTACTCCCTCCGTAACCCATCCATAAGCCCTCAGTATATTTAAAATTTAATTAAAATGACAAATTGTGCAGTGCCAGCATAGAGTATATTGCTACATATTTATATAAAAGTGCCAGTATGCAAAAAAATGGATATCATTTGTTCCCAAAAAACAAAAAACTGAAGAAATTGTGGGCTAAAGCAATAAGACGATTAAAATTCGCGAAATTATAATCTTTTATTTAATCATATAAGGAATACGTCCTCCAAATTTCACGTTTCTATGACCAGTGGTTAAGACTGTGTGTTGACTGTGTGACCATCAGTCAGTCAGGACCACCACAGGATGCACCTCTCCTTCTCAATTCTTCCTTCAGCTGGTCTAACTTCCATTTACTCGTCAAGAAATGTCTTAATAGTTAATTGCGGCATTAACACCGTATTGCATGTATGTCGCAGGTAAATTGTAAAAACCGAAAATTATAATTAACCCGAACCGATAAACCAAAAATAATTACAATTTTACGGTTTTTTCAATTTCCCTGGGACATGTACTTATTAGTTATTATAAAGGCAAAAGGCTTATTAAGGATAAGGAATAAGGATAGATATATAGATATGACAGGCCGATAGAGGATAATTAAGTTAGACATGGAACATCCGTTGCTGTGTAAGTGTTGGGAAACCCAATCTAACTAATTATTTATCCATTCCACCACGAAATTCCATCGGCTGGCTTACCGAGGCAGTTACCGTACCGAGGTACCGTTTTCTACAAGAACCTAGGGGTTGCCCTCACGGTCCACTCTGCTGTCGCATATCAGAGCAAGAGCAACCCACAGCGCCTCTCGGAGCGTCTCTTAGCCTCACGCACTGTTGAATTGCCGGACGCTACTCACTTTGTTTGCTAAATTGTAAGGATTGGGGTACATTGGTCACAATTCACAAATACATACCCGAGCAATGCGCACCCCATATTAAAGAATTTACTTCAATAATCTCGTCTTACAATCATATGTGTGTATATATATATATATATATATATATATATATATATATATATATATATATATATATATATATATATATATATATGTTTCAATCGTCATAAATAATCGCTAGATAATTGACGATTACGATTAACCGTGAAATGTCGATAATTGTAAATTACGATTAATAGTAATCGTTTCATAGTAAAAAACTCCATCGGTCTTTCTGGCGTCACAAGGGCGTATCGCAATTCGCGCTTTACATGATACGCCCTTAGACGAGGAAGAAGTCGCTGCGGAAGAGGAGGCCGTCGTTGACCCAACGCCTGCCAATGACATCCCTCCAAGCGCGACGGACCAGCCTTGGAGTCTTTATGATTTTAAGTGGGAAGAATTACTAGTTTCTCAAATTCCGCCTGAATTGAGAAGGGAAAAGTTTTCTCAGAATAATGATACGGTCCGACAACTCCATGTGTCGACCCGCATGACATATTCGTTGATATATGGGATCGGCAAATTATGGAGCACAAGCACATTGCCTTGGAGACGAACGTATATGCTCAGGAATCGGCGGCAAGACAAATGCTCGTTGACTACAATCTTCATCCCAGGAGCCGCATCGGCCGTTGGTTAAACAACGGTCGACGAGTTCTATGCCTTTTTTTGTATTTTAGTTTTGAGACCAAAGGAAAAGGTCATTCTATTTCTTGTAATTATTGTTTTATTCAAATTCTAGTCAAATGTTAAGTGATACATTTGTGGCTAATTTGTAGTAGTTTTTGTATTGTTTAAACTTTAGTCTTCTTTTGTATTTTAGTTTTGTGACAAAAAGATTTTTGTTCTAGTAAAATGATAGATGGCACTGTGTTAATAATTCTTTTTTTAGTACTTTTTTCTTCAAACTTAACATTTAAATAAAAACTTGTTGTGCATTTTAGTTTTGAGACTAATACTGCCCTCCCGAACCTAAAGTGCAGTAACAGCAAAAACACGAATTCGAGAAAAACGCGCTTAAAGTTTAGAATCCATAAAAATATATCAAAAAGAGACTTTTCGATAAAACCTTGAATGGAAAGTGAAAGAATATGTACCAAACTAAAATACTAAACATTGTTACGTTAGTTTTTTTATAAAAAACTATAATTATGGCAATTTTAATTTTTTTGCCCCTATTACTACACACACTTTATTTGTATAATCTTTTTAAAAACTGTTTTAAATGCAGTAAATCCTGTTATTACTGCATTTTAGACATTTCTTCCATGATTGTTACTAACTAAAGTGCAGTAATATTATGAAAATACTGCTATTTAATTTGTTTTTTTGAACAAAACACTGATATTCCACACTTATAGTAATATAAAATTACCTTTAATTTTGATAAAAATATGTAATTTCTTAAACAAAACTGGACATGCATTTATGACTATGCTATTAAAACTATTCATCAAAACATTGTACATTATAATCTAATAGTGTAAATTGTTTTATATGACTAACAATATAACAATCTTTACAAGATGTTGACAATCTTAACTAGTTAATCCACCATAAAACTATATCACATGTATTTCTCATGCATGGATCAATAAAATTTACATAAAATCTTTCTTCTGAACATAACTAATTACTAAATGAGTATTCTTGTCTTACAAAAATAATAGTCTGAAAAGATTATGGAAGGGAGAACTAAGGAGAATTAACTTATATGGGAAACAGGTTGAAAAAGTGTCCAGTAGTGAGCAGCAAATTATAGCTCAGAAACTCACCGTTAAGCCTAGTTCGCATTAAGCTAGTATTTTAGTCTAGTAGCGAGTAATTTAGTAACTGAACGTGTCTGAACACTAAAAATTTAGTCGATTAATTTAGTAAGTAATTTAGTCGAGTCAATCCATTTTATTCTATTTTTTTGGGCGAGTAGCAGCCCCCACCACGCGTCCGAGCTCACTGGTTCACCGGCTAAACAAGTACGAACCTGTCGAATTAGTCGAGTTCATTAGTTGCCGCCATAACATTCATTAACAGAAAATTTACACAACTTTCGGACATTCTCAAACTATCGAAGTATTCTTTGGGATCTTCCAATGCTAATTCCTTCAGAAGACAATTAGTAGCTCCTAGTTTATCTTGTTTTTCGATCCATTTTCGTACCCATAGCTTCTTTTTATTAATCACACAAATTTCCTCATCCACCTCTTCTAAAATAGCCGTTACGATCAGCTTAATCAGTTTATTTACTTTATTGCGTTGTAGGCTGTTCATCTTTCAAAACACCACTCACTTGTAAACTGTACTCGACCAAAGTGCGAACGAGTTTTGGTGAGTAGCGAGTAATTTAGCTACTAAATTACTCGCTACTAGACTAAAATACTAGCTTAATGCGAACTAGGCTTTACAGCACTAGCGTAGCAAGTAGATGTGATGTGAAGTTAGTAGTTTTTAACGGAGTGAAGTGTGCTGAATTATTATTACTTGAAAATAATATATAATTATATTGCTGTTTGCCTATGCTAGAACTATTTAGAAAAGTGCGCCACAGCAAAGCGGAAATCTTTCTTTCCTTCTTTAATTCACCTTCTTACTTTTATGACGTTATGTTTTAAACTAGCGACTCACCCTCGCCTCACTCGGGTTCGTCCCTGGATACTTTTTTTTGAGCGGAACTCTAATTCTTTTTTTTAAATAAAAGTAGCCTATATTACTCCCTATAACATCAGTTACCTTCCACTGAAAGTCCGTCAAAAACAGTCCAGCTGTTTCAGAGATTATTCGGAACAAACAGACAGACAAAAAAATTTAAAAATTAGTTTTTCTTATAAGTACCGTATATAATTTCATATGCATTTAGTAAAAAGGTTTATTTTGACATTACAAACAGACACTACAATTTTATTTATCTGTATAGATGTATAGATTCATATACTTGTTTTCTGTGGCGCCACCAATGTAATGCTTGTCAGCGGTCACTTTTTATACCAGAAATAGTTCTCCTTAGTTCTACCCTCCATATCTCTTTGGTACAGACACAGCATGGCACGTCAAGTCAGCCTTAAGCCACAGATTAAGGAGACTGCCTCAAACCGCGATATTGCCTGTCCTGTGTTTTAATATTTTAATAATTTACCTATTAAAACGCAGTATTAGGGAATAGTATTTGACTTTAAGTATTTTAGGTAGTATGAATTGGATGAAGCAAACTAACTAATATGCAGTAAAATTTATAAATATTGTAAACTAAATGGTCTTTTACAAGCAACTACAAAACATCCTACAAGTTAAACTGCAGTAAAGTTATTAAATACTGCATGTCTTTTAGTTTTTCACAAGAAATTACAAAATCCCCCACAAGTTAATGTGCAGTATGGAATGTTAATACTGCACTTTAATTAGGAATATAAATAAAAAATATTTTTTCTTAACCTTTGCAGTATAATCAATTTGTATAGAGTCGAATAATACTGCATTTTAATAAGTTTTTTCTTGAATCTCCTAGAACAAACTACTATTTTAAGTGCCACAAAATATGATAAAACACTGCAGTTTAGTTAGGAAACAGAGAAAAATCTTGTGCAGTATTAATTGTACTGCGGTTTAGCTGGTAAACATGGAATATTTTAACAGATTTGTGATATTTTTGCTGTTACACCTTCCGAAAAAACATTAAAATAAAATACTTTTATTAGCGCTACAGAAAAAAGAATTAATTTGACTGATAGCTACTAAAATGGGGATTTAGAATATATATTTAACTCAAAACCGACCAAAATGCCTATTACTGCACTTTAGGCTCAGGTGGGCAGAATAGGTACTTGTTTTGTATACATTTCAATATGTTATTTAAATTTGAAAAAAACTTGGGTTTGTTATTCAGTTTTTAAACCAACATATTGCTATTTTAGTTAACGACTTGGTAATTTTATTATTATGTACAAAAAATGCAACTTTACAAATAGTTCGATAAAATCGATTATTTTTTAGTTAATAGATATTTTACAAATCGATTTATTTTAGAGAGAGAAAAATAAGTTATTTAATTTATAGTTGACTGTGGTTTTCACAAAAACAAGTGAATATTTTATTTTTTTATTAAGTTTACATTAAATTACAGAACAATTACACTCTGTTTAGCAGCTTGTCTGGCCTTTAGACGAACTTGTGCAGCAATTCTGTCCAAGTCACGTCTGCCCTGAGTAGTGAGGATGCGGCCACCGTCGGGAATCTTTTCAACTAGCTTAAGAGCTTCAAGTGCCTGAAGCGCTTTACGAGCAATGCTGCCTGATGATCTATAAATTACATTTTAGTTATTAGTATAGCCTACATTTAGAAAGAACAAACCTACTTAAACAAACATTTGAAGATATTAATTACATATTTATATCGTTTTTTATTTTTAATCTTATTAACTACTAGAAACTCTTACTCATGCCTCACATGTTCATATACATGTTCTATAGCTAATTTATCTAGACTTCCTTTGTTTAGTTTCGTAAATAAACTAATTAATATATTAAAATATTTTTATATACATATTACTCTACATAGATAAGACAAAATTAAATTGTTACAAAATAAGAAAAATAAATTACCTGCAGAAATGTGAAGGGGTGACGCCATTGCGTTTACGACCTCCGAAAATCTTAGTTACAGTCTTGACTCCAACTGGGGATCTGATGTAGATGTGACGAAGTACAGCAGCGCAGCGTACATAGAACCAATCAGGGTCGTACGGTGCCAATTCTTTGAAACGACCAGTCTTGACGAGATCCATGTGTTCTGGCACCTTGACCTTACCCATTCTACAAATAAAAAATATTTAAAAATGAAGACAATTATTATTATAAAAATCTTTTACAACACATTTTAACCAATAATACTTTCTTAGATTTACGCGACTATTTGACATTTTAAATAAAACTATCTTTTCGGATTTTGTCGCGGATTTATTTGCATTTTTGTTTCCCGACGTTTCGAATGCTTTACAGCATCCATGGTCACGGGAGAGACTGAGGTGTTACATGTCTTGGAGGTATAGTTGTTACAGACAGCCTACCCACAATTAACAAAATGAAAATTGCACCAATTACATTACAATATTTTTTAACTTTAAACATTTTCATAATTTTAATTATAATTGAAAATGGAATATTATTTATTTATTTTTGCTATTATTTTTATAATTATTACAATTTTAAAATATTAATTAGTAATCTATATTTAGTGTTGCCATTATTATATTTATAACCATAAAGAAAAATATAAAATATAGTGTTAATTATTTAAGCCATATAATTGTTCTATGTGTAATTTAAAAAGTTTTAATTAATTAAGGATAATTATTTTAATTTAGTTTGCTATTATTTAAAAACAACTTACTAAGCAACACTATTACTATATACTTTTACAAATGAGAAATGGTTATAAATATAATAATGGCAACACTAAATATAGATTACAAATTAATATTTTAAAATTGTAATAATTATAAAAATAATAGCAAAAATTAAATAAATAATATTCCATATTCAATTATAATTAAAATTATAAAAATGTTTAAAGTTAAAAAATATTGTAATGTAATTGGTGCAATTTTCATTTTGTTAATTGTGGGTAGGCTGTCTGTAACAACTATACCTCCAAGACATGTAACACCTCAGTCTCTCCTGTGACCATGGATGCTGTAAAGCATTCGAAACATCGGGAAACAAAAATGCAAATAAATCCGCGACAAAATCCGAAAAGATAGTTTTATTTAAAACATTTTAACCAAATTAACACATATATATCTGTATAAATATTGTAATTTAATCTTGGCCATAGTAAAAGCAACATGAGTCAGGCATGATTCCTTTTAAATTTCTAATTTGTTTTACTGATATATTGATTATTTTTGTAAATCATTCGCTATACTTTTACAGCACTACAAGGCCCTATGGTTGTATGTTCTTAGGTTGTATATAATTTTTTGGTGATAACCTTCCCGGGTCGTGTTTGTTTGTATGTTTTTTGGTTTAAAAAATATTTTTTGCCCGGAAAAAGAGTGACACACCCTTAACATTAAATAAAACATAAGCACACAGTTCAAGTTCTTATTTTATGTATTGAAAAATGTGTATGAGACATACTTTTTCAAATGGGCAGCAACGGTCTTGACAACCTTGTCTTGTTCAACATCCTTCAGTGTGACTGAACGCATCTGAAAATAAAAAGTTAATATATCAATTGAATGAAAGTTTGAAATTACAACTTAGGTAACAGAGTATTAACTTGTAGTCCAATATATTATAACAAAACTTTTATTTGTTAAAACCAGCTACTGCTTGAGACTGAGAAAGCTAAAAGCAGAAAACACATGGATGTCATCAAACACAGTCATTGAAATTTTAACCAAAACTTATATCATACAATATAAAACCCATTAACTTTCACATGAGCTGTTCATTAATCTTGTAAGAATAAACAACATAATACATAATATCTTTATGAAATCTTCACAAAATCGACCAAAGTAATAAAACAGTTAAATCTATCTGGTATCAACCAGATAAACTTATAGAGATTGAAGTTTTAAAACTTATAAGATATGTAATAAAATAGTATACTTCAAAAGTAATAAAAAAATCCAATTGAAATAAAACTTTATGACATTAGAAGAGAAACATATCACTTTAGTAAATACACAGAATATTTATTGTTTTAGGATGACAAATATATACTAAAGAATTAACAACGTGATTATATATATAAAATTGGTATATCATATAAAATTCCAATACTTAAATATTTGTATAAATTTTATACTAATAAATATCGAAATTAAGTATATGTATTTATTTAATTTTCAATAGAATAAATAATTATACATGAGGCGATTTTGAAATTTACGACATAAAATTCAATATTACATATCAATTATGAACAATTCTAAGACAAGTGAGGTTATGTTATACATTGCAATAAAATGCTACATTTCAAAGGACACAATAATTTTGATATTAGCTATTCAAGTAAAAAATATTATTTACAGGTGATGTTAGAAAAATAACACTAAAACTTTTAATGTATTGTAGTAAAATATTATTTTTAACAATTGAGTTGAAAGGTGCAACATGACATGAGTCTATCAATAGCCCTCCAAAACTTGTATGTCACACAGAGATTTACATTAAATTAATTAGAATTTTACCTTACACAGCAATGTGGCACTTTTTACTCACTAATTTTGATGTTAACACTTAATTTTTCACTAAATACCATGCGGTTTAACCACGACACTCACCTTGCCTTGTGTTGGCAACCGGAAGAAAGAAAGAGATGGTTAAAAAATTGTAGTGTTGTTGCTTGAATTAAAAATTGAATATGGTAACATGTGTTTGAAGTGCATATTTTAATAAATTGATCTTTTTTATTTATATTATAATTCTATTAATGAATAGTTGTTTCTAATAAATAGCAGAACTACTTGTATTAAATTTCTCTATAATCTCTAATATTCCTCTAAAATATACAAGATAAAAATAAAAAATACGAAGTGACTATTTGTACGGGTACTGGATGAATAAATTATATTTATTCGTACATTTATTCAATTTTTTTTTAAATTTCCACTCAAATTGATAAAATAAAATTATTCGTCCGACTTATGTAAGAATAATAATAAATTGTTTGTCCAGTACCCGTATTAATAATTATAAATTTTTCGTACAGTACCCGTACTAATAGACTCAGCCTAAAAAATAATATTCTCCCAATTTAATATTTTTAATAAATATTGAGAAGCTACATATTTATTACTAGTGTATTTTATAGCTTGTATTCAGGTAAATAATTAATATTCAATAAATTAATAAAATCAAGTTTATTGTATGACAACTATCCGGTTTTTAGAGATATTAGTTTATGACTCACAGAAGGGGTAGCTGTGTCTCTGTCTATGATTGTTTTGTTGTCAAATTCAAGAAAATGGCCGCGAAACAAAATTCTATTGCAAATGAAGGTAAAGTTGAAAAATAACTTATAGAAATATAATATTAAGTATTTTATTCAATTTTAATATGCACGTGAATAATAATTGTTTTTTTCTAGTACATACTTGGAATTTAAAATATTACGCTTCTAATAAAAAAAACGTCTTTTAGGTCCAACAACATCCAGTGATATTCCTTTGACATCTTTAGAACAAAGTCTATTAAGTCTTGAAAAGCTCGATCGTGCCTCACCAGAACTATGGCCCGAGCAAAGTAAGTTTGTATAATTTACGAGTGTTATTAAACTTAATGATTCACTGTAAAAGTAATAATTTTCAAAAGTGGCGCGATTACATTATATTTCTAATGTTGTCATCCCGTCCTCCATTACGTTTATTCGGCTTTGGTGATCGGTTATAACGTCTAGTTTTTAAACATATAATTTGAAATGGGCGACGGGAATAGTAATTTTTCGAACGATGATGCTTCAAGATGCTCAAATGAATCTCTTGTAGTTCCAGGGGTTTCGGAGTTTGCAGCTATGCAAAACCCCAACCAATCTCCACCTTCGTGGAATAAAGGTCTTACCAAAGAGGATTACACATATATACAACGTGAGTAATAGTTATTAATATATTTATTCAATATATTTTTAAATATAAAAATCAAAAAATTAATTCCATCTGATGTTTCAAATTATTATACCTAGGTTATTTTTTTTATTACATAAATTTCTTCATATTAAATATGGCTAAATTTCGGTTGTTACAAATTACATATTTCAAAAAGTTTAATGTTCTCACATTTCTTTTGCCAGCTTTTATTGATTTATTTCAAATAATATAAGTAGATTTTGTATAGGAATATAAGTGATAAAATTCTGGTGATAAATATGTCTGCTGATATAAAATTCATCTTGGTTAAAACATGCAAAAAGCTGTCTTGGTAAAAAGTAGTAATGACTTTTGTTACAACTAAAGTGTTCTGTTTACTGAACAGTAATGTTAGTACCTATGTGAATTCTTTGGAGAAATTAACTAAAATATTGTAGTAAAATATTTTGTTCATTTCAGAGTTAGGCTCGTTAACAATAAGCAGCCTTATTACAGAAGTCAAAAAGCTACATGATTTAGCATACCAGTTAGGCTTGGAAGAAGCTAAAGAGATGACACGAGGAAAATACTTGAATATATTTTCCAATAGGCGACAACGATGAGTGATCAAAGATTAATATTACTTTATATTATAGTAGGGGAGCTCAAGAGGGAATTTTCTGTAGTTACTTAAGCGCGGCAAATTAACATAAAAGAGCACTCTATTGAGTACTTTCACCACAATAAGTCTTCTATATAAAGGGGCGCGTCTAGGGAAGCCGATTAAAATATTTAAAAAATGTTTTGATAAGGTAGAAATACTTGAAACCGTCAGATTAAGGTGTGGTAGGCTAGTCACATCCTGAAAAGTGTCCAATTTAATAATCTGCCGATTTGCACAAGCCGAAGAGGCAAAAATCGACTATAGTTTATGATGATTTATATAGAAGACTTATATTATGGTGAAAGTACTCAATAGAGTGCAAGGTAACCTCTTTTATGTTAATCTGCCGCGCTTGAGTAACTATAAAAATCCCCTCTTGGGCTCCCCTACTATTACAAAACATTTTCTTCTGCTCCAAAAGACCATTTATTAAATTTTATCGAATAATTTTTATATATTTCAGATTATTCAGAAATAAATAATCTGAAATATATAAAAATTAGTACTTAAAGAATGTAAAATATCAGTCAAGTGCTAGTCGAACTTGCACATGTAGGGTTCCATACCATAATCATGGATTTTTTTTTATGAGCATGGCAACCTTTTTGGAATTCACCATCTTGGTATTTTATTATTTGTTGTTATAGCGGCAATAGAAATCACACTCTGTAAAAAATTCAACTCTACCTATTACGGTTCATGAGATACAGCCCTCTGACAGACGGATGGACAGCAGAGGCTTAGTAATAGGGTTCCGTTGGCACCCTTTGGGTACAGCATCCTGAAAAATCAAACCCAAACTAGTCGCTACTTATAAATATTGTAACAATAAGAATAAATATAAAAAATGTGTTATGCACAAAAAAATGATCTTATTTTTAATTGTTATAATTAAATTAAAATATTAAATCAATAACAAATATTTAGTACTTTTAGTGTTATGTGCTGAATAATTTTTCAGATCAAATAATAATTAGACTTATAATTTAAAAACATGTTATTCAAGACAATTTGTAAATATTAGTCAACTATTCTATTGTAATACCATATAAGATATAATAAAACCATATTATAATAGTTATATTTATTTTATAACCTAATGAACAATAACTAATGTTATAATAATGAAAAAGAAATTAAATTCTATCTATAAATCTTATTTTAAGAGGTCGATTGGGTCTCACAATAAAACTTCTGGTTGGTTGCACTTCTCCATAATGATATTCGAGCTTGTACTTTTGTAAAACCTATATGAGAAAAGAATTACAAGATTATATTATTAGCATCAGTCAAGTCATTAAATTATATTATTTAATAAAAAAAAGCAGGGGTAAAAATTTAAAGTAAGGCAGTGGTAGCTCAGTGGTAACGCGCTCGCTTGGGAAACCGAGTGAAACGAGTTCAAATCCCGAGTCTCGCAGGTCTGTGATATTTTCATGTGCGAATCATTTCGAACATGATTACCACTTGTCTTAACGGTGAAGGAAAACATCGTCAGGAAACCTGCATGTCTGAGAGAACCTAGCAAGTTTTCAAAAGACATGTGATGTTCGCCAACCCGCACTTGGCCAGTGTGGTGGACTATAGTCTGATTCCCCTCGTATTGAAGGGAGGCCCGTGCCCAGCAATGGGACGTTAAAAAGGGCTGAATACATAGATTAAACTTCATAATAGTGGATAATTTATGACAGATTTTTTACCAGTACATTAGCATAGTATTATATGATCTGTGCCAGTACATACTAACAAAATAAGCATTTATAAATAATACAACTTTTATTTTTAATATAAAAAGTAAAGATTATAAAGTAACTACATACCAAGTTGAGAACTTTATTTTTAATGAAGTTGCTTATGAATCTTGGGCTTTACAGAATCTAATTTTATCAATGAAAGCTTGTGAGTTAGTGTGGTAATGGAGATGGCTGTATCATACCTACAGCTCTGGATTTACACTAGGTGCACTCGGGGCTAGTGCTCCGAGCGGGAAAAAAGTTTTCTTCGCGTAATCAAAAATGTTTTTCTTATTTTACAAAAAATGAAAAATAAAAAGAGAATTACGTACATTTTTCGAAAAATTGGTATCATTAAGAAATTATTTTTTAGCATTTTTCAAAAAAAATATAATCAAAAAAGTTCACTCTCAATATTTTATTTATAAGTTCTATAATATGGCGGCATTTTTTACTATGCCCTGGAGGCTGGAGCGGCGCTAAGGTTAAATCCGACCCTGCATACCTACTGTGCTGTATCTGCGAGAAAATGACTAATAATATAATTAATAATCAATATTTTTTACCCTTATAGTTAATAAAGAAAGCATAGTTTCAGCTATATTCTGTCCCACACACTTCCTAGCACCAAACCCAAATGGTATGGATGCGAAGGCGTGGTACTCCTTACAGTCTGCTTTTAGCCATCTCTCTGGATAGAAAATGGACGCGTGGTCATAGTTGCTTTCTTTGAGCGACGCGTCACGTGACGACATTATGATTAATGTTCCTCGCGGAATACTGTAAGACATTAGTGGTTTTTATTTTTTGATTAAAGTATATATAATATAAAATGAAGTCGCTTCCGCTGTCTGTTCACTTAGATCTTTTAAACTACTCAACGGATTTTAATAAAGCAGTTTTCAGCAATAGATAGAGTGATTCAAAAGGAAGGTTTACATATACATATAGGTAATACACGTATATTATAGTACAGAACAGCCGAGAAATTCAAAGAATCGAATGAAATAAGATTGTATTTTTTAAAATCTATTGATGGTTTAAAGTATAAAAGTGCTGTACCAGATTTTATCCAACATATAATTTATAAATGCGATGCCTTTGGGTTACCGATTTGAGTGAAATTCGGAATTTGAAAATCTTATTGACTTCCAGGCTAGCAATTCATAAAATTAAGCACGGGCTCTCAATCTTTCTTCTGGTACACATTCAAATAATATTGTTAAGTGTAGTCTTATTCTCAATATAAACAGCGAGTTTTGATATATATTGGATTAAACACCTACATTATTAGTCTTTGTCATTTTATGTTAGACTAGCGACTCACCCTCGCTTTGGGTTCGTATCTGGACAAAAATAATCTATTCCATGGGAACTGTACATTTTTTCCGGATAAAAAGTAACTTATGTGCTATTCTAGACTATAATCTATCTCTGTGGCAAATTTCATCCAGATCCGCTCTGCCGTTCTTGCATGAAAAAGTAACAAACATCCATCCATCCATCCTCACAAACTTTCATATTTATAATATTAGGTATGGATTACATTAATTTTATTGTAATATTTTTTTATTAAGTAAACTTACTTGTATCCATCTAGAGTTATGTTTCTTGATAAAATCCTTGTCAATAATGGAATAGGTGGAACAAGTCTGTGGATACAGAAATGTAATAATATTTTGAAATTACTATGTAAAAAAAATTGATTATAATAACTAGTGATCGTTGTAAAAAAATGTGAAAGGACGGAAATGGTGGGTTAGTAGGTAATTTTATAATACCTTTATCTGCTATGTCGGAAGTCACAGGTTCAATTCCTCTATTAGTTTAATGTTTTCTGTAGACCAAACTTATTTATCCAAGCAATTCATTATGTATGGCAAAATGAAAATGTATGTATGTCGTACATATGTATATATTATGGAGTAATTGTTATGCATTTCACTGGGTATAAATTATCATTTTTATTTTTAAATTAATTTGTAAAATGTGGTCTTGTCATTTTAGTATAGATTTTCATTTAACAAAATGTTCAAAATCATATTTTTATACCTCAATGTTTCTTTAATGCACGCTTGTAAGTAAGGCGTGGTTTCCTTCAATTTGCTCACGCCTTTCACAACCATATCTTCGTTCAAGTTGCCTATCTCTTGATGGAGTTGTCGTTGGCACTTTTGATGTGTTGCGATGTTGTACAATAGGAAGGACATCGACGTTGTAATCTAGAATTATTGTTATATTTTTGATGTGAATAACTAGTTATTATGAAATAAAGTAAGTACTTACTTTTAAATTAATATTTTAAAAGAAAAAACTAAAGCCATGGTTGCGATTTGTTGAGTCCTACTGGAAAATAAAGGATCTTGGATGGAATATTGGATCCTAGCTTATACAGAAAATGTTTGCAGTACTATCTAATATATAATATTCTCGTTTCTAAGTGATAAGAGTGGTCCATCCTAGGGACGAACCAGAGCGGAGCGAGGGTGAGTCGCTAGTATAGGTAATACGTAATTTTTGATAACCCTTCTAACATTTCTCAAAATATGAAAAAAGTTTTTCCAATACGACTTGTACTTCCAGAAATTAGTGTTTATAGAATAATTTATTTTGCTTTATAGGTAATACATTAAAAGGTTAAGAACTCATATATTAAGAGAGTCATTAGTGTTTAAAAATAACTGGTTATTATCAATATTTACAGTATTGACTCCAATAAGAAGCATGTCCATCAAAATTGTAGCAATGTCTTCCGTTTTGAACTTATTCTCACTTAATAACATTGCACTTGCCAACGAATAGGGATCTAAAAAAAGTTAAAATTTCTAGATATAAATAAATTAAGTCTATTAAAAATATTCTTACAAATTGAATTTTATTTATTTCTTAAAAGTTCTTTTATAAAATAATACTTTTTTGAAAATACCTACATTTGCCATCATCGTCCTGAGCGTTTATAGAAAGGTCTTGTTCTGCCTCTAGCACATATTTGCCAATTAAGCTGCGAATAATATTATTATTGTTTTACTCATTAACTTTAACATTTCAGACTAGACTTCGATAGATTTGACTCCAACTAAGACTCAATATTTGTGTAGATTATATATTTGCTAAATAAACAAATACCTACTGGTGAATATTACACAATAACAGATGCTTAGCGTAGTGTGTTGAACTGTGTCTGGGAAAGACAAAAATGGAAAACGTATATGTGAAATATTAACAAATTTTCTATAAATCCATACTAATATTATAATTGCGATAGTAACTATCTGTCTGTTACCTTTTCACCTTAAATCCGCTAAACTGATTTAGATGAAATTTGGTATGGAGATAGTTTAAGACCCTGGAAATTACATAGCAGTTTTTATCCGGCAAATACGCCCAGCCCAAAAGGGGTGGAAGTTTGTATGGGCAAACAGTCCTTTCTCAAGTAAAGAATGTATATTTTTTTATTTTTTAAGTAAATACCTAGGTACTTCTCTGTATCTGTGTATAGTACATCTATTCCATACTGTTAAAACGTACCTAGGGACAAACCCGAGTGAAGCGAGAGTGAGTCGCTAGTTATATAAAAATACATTTTAAAATTTATCTTAGAACTTTCTCTCACCTATCCAAAATATTACAGTACTTCACCAACGAGTACCAAGCGGGAGTAGTAAAGAATTTCCACAAATGGAAGCCAGTTTCACATTTCACAATGGCATCAGTGGCCTTGTCCAAGCTATGGTACATCCAAGACGGGTCACACTGACTATATATCAGCTCAGTGTCTAGCAATTGAAACTTTTTTGAAAATGTAATAAGGCCTGCAATGTTTTTCATATTGTATTGTATGTTGAGATATCGCTTTTATTTTTACTATATGTACGTATAGTGCCTTTGGTTTTGGTGAAATTCTTCATCTCTCAAATGAACTCACTGGACTAAGTGGATTGATAATTGATATTTCGACGGCTTATTCCTATAACTATAGAAAAGTCCAAAAAAAATATATGTTAAAGTCCGACTCGGCTAATGAATGGAATAGGGTTCGTAAAGCTTTTATATGAGAACACATAATGTAGCAATTATAGCTATACACAAAACCAAATAGGTATGTTGTTTCGTTGTAAACTGGAATAAAAAACTCTTAACTTTGAGAAACGTAGCCCTTTTTTAGCGCCTCGATATATAGAAGTGGTTTGTGAGCGTGGGGGTCGTGAAAGTTACTGAGAAAAGCGTAGGATTAGATCATAAGCGAAAGTAGGTCACTCGGAATGCCTTCTGGAGATGCGCACTTTGATTTTCGCAATAGATGTATTTCATTTAAAGTTAAACCATTAAAAGATAACCTGCTCCATAAACAACAGTAGTAGAAAAAAACAATATATAACAATAATATAAAACAGTTATAAATATAACAATATTATGATACGATGGGCAAATATTACCAATTTTGTGATATACTTAGTGATGTAAGTCACATCACAAAGTCATTAATACAACAATTAATTTTAATAAAATGAACCGTAACGATTTTTCTCACCCATACAATCAAAAGCCCATTTATGCAATTCCTTATACAGATCTTTAGACATTTCGTCTTGGTAATTCCTTATGTTATATATTTTTTGTGTCAACTTTTCACATATATCAAACACCCCTTGTGCGTGTTCTGTCACTGTGGTCTGCGCTGGATTGTACATTACTGACTTTTGCCGTAACCATTCTTGACCGTGACTATGGAATTCGAGTTAACGTCACTTATTAAAACCATCATAAATAATTTTTATATTACGTTTATATTAATATTAATAATATATTTTGTTTTAAAGAAAATAATTTAGGGTTATTATATTATATTGGATGGGATATTAAGCTTTAAACTTTGAGAAACGCTGTATAAAACATACTCGTACATTTAAATATATGAAATATGTAATATATGGAAGGAATAGTGAAATATTAAGAAACATATTATATTAAATTTTATTAATTAAAATAACAAAATGTTTACGGCTGTAGAAGTTTATTTGTACATTGTACATAACTCGGTAACTATTGTCTTGAATAAAAAAAGTCATGAAGCAACATATACTCTTAAATTTCATTTTTGAAAATTGAAATCTAAAAATACCTCACTATAGCTTATGTGCATTCAAACTACAAGCATGTTATGCTATCACTATCTTTTTATTTTTCGTAATTTTATTACAGCAATAATGGCGGTTCACGTGAAACATTTAGGTACCTACCTTCTAAAATGTTTTAAGTACATAAGTTGATACGAACATGATGATATTATTCTTGGGTTCCGTTTTCGCCTTTCAGTTACGAAATCATAAAAATATGTAAATTATAAATTTATTAGAATTTTAACTAACACGGTATATATTCCGGCATAAGCATGATTTTTATGTTCAGTTCTGTATCTCTCGAGTGATTCCAAGGTGGATCTAATTGGGTATTCGCCTTCCATATTGAACACTTTTTGTATATGGTCCGGATGATTAATAAGCACAATATCCCCACCTAGAGGACTAACAAAACGGACTACGGGACCATATTCGTCAAACAGAGTGGATAAATCGCGAATTTGTTTCCTACTATTAAGCAGTGTGCCTAAAATGTTAAAATACATTTAAAGAGTAACACATAGTAAATACTAAAAAAATAAAATAAAAAGGGTAATGGTGAATGATGAATCTGTTAGAGGTTACTGGTCGTGGATTCAAATTCTATTAGACATGTGTGTTTAGGTCCTAAAGTCGAAACAGACTTATGGATGTCTACTGCTGGGATGGAGTATTGTCGAAGTTATTCGAGAAGTCTAGATTGGAGCGTTGATAGATGAAGTTTCGCCAGGTTACTTACCCTGGACGGACTATAGCGAAAAGATAAATCTTATAAGTACTATTGCAGTACTATGCAGTTCCATTATTGTGGGGAATTGATAAAATATATGCTACGTGGCCCCTGGAGGTGTGTATATTTTTGATGGGGAGTCTAACTATATAAAATATACTAAGAAAAAGGAGACCTAACAGACAAACCTGGGGAGCTAAAGTTACAACACTCCTATACATACTGTTCTGCCCCAATAATGTGATAAATAAGGATTTTATGATTTTTCGTTACTTCGAAATATTTAGACACCTTAATACTAGCCGTCGTGGTTTAGGTACATTAAAATCGGTAACAAAACCGACTTGGAAATAACTTAAAAAGATTTTTTTAATTGTTTAATTTTCTCCAATAGCCACGTCTACATATGCAGGTTTTAGGTAAGCAGTAAGTTGTCTATAAAAAACTTACTAATAGACGGAGTTTATGTAGGTTTTCATATATATACTAACCAATATTAAGGCCAAATGTTAAAAAGTTTGCTGTCATTTGAGTTCCGATTTCCGATAAGTAATTCCGGAAAACAGACAGATATTTTAAAGATTTCGGTCCAGGGACTTCATCAAAAGGTAATACTATAGGATCCTTATCCCTTAAAAGCATAGGAACTACTCGAGTTACAGTTGGATAAACATTTACTTCATTAATATCTGATGTTACTCCAGTATTCGACGCCTCTGATTGAGATGGGGAGTGAATATCACTGTTAACTTCTAATGGTTTTGCAGTCTGCTTACGAATTGCTTGCCAATTAAGGTATTTATTTCCATAATTAAAAATCTTCTTAGTACTCGGATTTATAAATTGCAATTTACTCAATAGCATTGTCATGATTTTTATTTTAATTTGGAATTATTTCAACACACTTGAACTCAGATTGAAAACAAATGAAGCTTAAAGAATAATTTTTAAAATTGGCGCTATTGATATTACTAAAATTTAATACATTATCTGTTTTAATTATTATAGATTAAAGCAATAAACACAGTTAATTGAAATTGTTCTTGATGATATTTAATTTAATATTTATATAACAAAAAGTAATTATAATTTTTATTAATTACAGCCAAAATTATAATTTTACAATCTTGTTTGTTTTTATTCAAAAGTGGTTATTTTTAATAGTAACACTGTTTGATAACTGTCAAGTATGCGTTGCATGAAATCTGTCAGAGTTCTTCATGGCCAAGAGTGAGCGAGTTAGCTAATGTGGTAGATGGCGGGAGGGATCTCGTGTGATATAACTGTGTTAGATTAGTTTTAAAATTTTAGTGTAAAATAACAAAATAATAATTAAAATGACTAGGTAATTCGAATTTATAGTTAACGTGGAAATTAAGTTTTCAGTGCTATCTATTAATTTGGCATAATAGTGAGGCATACGAACTGTCCAATTTTGTCTTCTCATTATCACTATTCACTAATCGTGTCTAAAAGGGAATCTTTGCTATTTCAGGGCTAAAATAGAACTTGGCGATGTGACACCGCATAATATTAAGCAATTAAAGAAACTGAATACGGTTGTATTTCCAGTATCCTACAACGACAAATTTTACAAAGATGTATTAGAGGCTGGCGAATTAGCTAAACTGGCGTATTACAATGATATTGTGGTTGGAGCCGTTTGTTGTAGAATAGATACGTCAGAGAATTCCAGAAGATTGTATATAATGACTCTAGGATGCCTATATCCTTATAGAAGATTAGGTATTGGTACTCTAATGGTGGAACATGTGCTCAAGTATGTTGAACAGGATGGCAATTTTGACAGCATTTTCTTGTGAGTATCCTTGGACATATCTAGTTTTATTACTTTGCTATAATTTTGTGTATTATTGGTGTTGATGACTTCAAGGTTAAATATAATGTCCTCTGTTAATCAAAAGTAACCTATCAATGAAAAAAACGTATGTCCTTCTCATTATTTATATTCCAATAATAAAACTTACGATAATATTACGTACTTTAATACTTTCTACTCTTTGTTGACTATTTCCCATTTATTTCAACTTATACAAATATATTTGAAATGTTTTGTTTTTATTCATTTTGTATAAAGACCTTATCTTGATTATACTTTCAGGCATGTGCAAGTGAATAATGAAAGTGCAATAGATTTTTATAAGAAATTTGGCTTTGAAATTGTTGAGACAAAAGAATATTATTATAAGAGAATAGAGCCTGCTGATGCCCACGTTCTACAGAAAACTATTAGGCAACCACAACCTCCACCACTAGTTAATGGAACCGTTCCTCATGCGAAAACAAATGGTCATGATTGAAATAAGAATGATTTTCATTGTCTCAACTCAGTAATAGTGAAAAAGAGCAAGTGATAAATAACTTAAGAATATCAAGTCACTTTTATATTTACATGATGATTGATTACATTAAAGATGGGGATTATGAATGATACTAAACAATTTTAATTAAAATAAATTGAAAAATATGTAAATAATTGCTAAATTCACATGAAATTTTCTTTAACAGCTCTCCAACTCGACCAAATGGAATCATGAAAATAATTACATATTAATTTTAACTTATTGTATAAATATTTAATATTTATCTTATTTGGTCATTCATAATCTAGCCAAGAATTGATAATGGAATAATATGTAGGGTTGTGGTTGTGGACTACTGAGGCCATAATTCTAACTGTAATATGACTGATTTCATTCTAATATAGTTGAGTCTTGTATTGTACAGATAAATAAATACTAGCATCATGTATGTCATTGATAAAAATAATGTAATATACATTTTTTTTCAAGACATTGTGTACAATCTGATTGATATATTTACAGAAAATATTACTCTGAATAAAATATACTCTGTTGAGTACCTCCACCATAAATATAAGTTCTCTGTATAAGGTCGCGCATCTAGAACAGCTAATCAAAATATTTAAAAAATATTTTGATAAGTTAGAAATACTTGAAACCATCAGATAAGGGTGTGGTGGGCTAATTGAATGCTGAAAAGTGTGCAATTCAATACAGAACTTGTATATGGCACTCAACAGAGTGCAAGGTATCCTCCCCTTAATTAATCTGTTGCATTTGAGTAAATCCCAAAGTCCCCTTTTGGGCTCCTCTACTATTTTTGAATACTAGTGTTTGTAACAAATTCTTCTCAATTTGTATTAAAGTAACATAAAATTAGCTCTAGGCATTCTTTTTAATTCAACTTGATGGCATACAACATTTATGTCCATTTTTTACTGTGTAATGTAAGATGTTATAATAAGAATAGTAGGCTCTGATAACTTCAAATTCATTTTAATTTTTTTTAATTAATTGTGTCACTGATGTTGTTGTTTTATAATTACTGATTAAATTTTATTTTTCGCCAAAAAATTGTTAATATATTTCTAAATTTGTTTTTGTATTTATACTGTGTACCTATTTTCCCTTGTAAACAATAGGTGTTACCAAAAGTCAATTTGTCTACTGTCAAAGTATTTGTTGATTATCATGTTTCTCTAAACTTATAGACTTAGTACAATAAACATGATTAACATTTTCAATTTGTTTTTTTGATGTGAAGTATCTAATGCGGCGGGTCAAACCGGCTGTAGGCGTGGCGACGCGTCGCCACGTCGCTATACGCTCGTAACTCAGATTCTTCCCACTCGGCTCGGCGATTCCCTCCTCTGTCACCGCGTTGAGAGTTATTTTAATTTTGGTATTAATGTGTTTTTTAAATAAAAAAAAACTGAATATTTTGTTTTTGAATATGCCATATTTACTTCCTTCAAATAAACTACCCATCATGCATTTTTTCTGTCGGTCCTGCATCTAAACTCGCTTGTTATGTCGAAGTATCACTCCATCGGACTTTAGAGTTCACTTGTTTGCGCGAACACTTGTGCATTATGTCTCCTACGTAGTTGGTTAGTCTCAGTGATATTGGCTACCATGGCCGAAAGTTCCTACTCTTAACTTAAAATATAACTATTATTAATAATATATTTTGCCTAGGTATTTATTAAAATAAAAAAATAATTGATTCACATTTCCGCTTTACCTATTTACAATGATTGAAACTTGATACATTAGGTAATTTTACTTCGCTCACGTTTTGCCAAGGACATAATGTACGGTAATCATAATAGTGTTGCGCGTTTCTAAACTATTATTCTTTGAAAGAAAATAATGATTTCAATTTATGACTTCTGCTTCAGTAGTATATTAAAAATATTACATGCTTATTGCATGTAATATGTATGCATTAAAGGTCTTCATTATATTTTAATTTGCATTTCTACTTGGGCTGTATCATTTTCAAATAATCATCATTTTATATAATTTAGGAAAAGTAATATCAATAAAGGAGGTTTTTATACAAGTATATAATAAAGTTATTAAAAATTAAATTATAATAAATTTATTATAAAATAAAACACACAATACGAAATATGTAGGTATTTATTTTTTATTAATATAACATTAGTGCATTTTAAAATACTGGTATGCTTTCTAAAAGCTTCAATTCACTATCACAGACTATAAAAGTTTCATAAATAAAACTAAACATATAGATTAATTATACATCCAGTGAAATACAATAAGCAAATGCAACCGTTTTATAAATCACTATTCCTTGCATTTTGTAAAGATTTGATAAACATACTTGCTGATTATAATGTGTTAAATTGACTTTATAGATTATCTGAGATTCAATATATTTAAATTTACTGGTACGGATTTAGACTTAGGCGTATATTAAACAATCTTTGAAAGAGCTTTTTTATTTCTTAAACATCTATAACACGTATTAACTACGTATACCAATAGAATAACATAAGTGTATGCCAAATAACATTATTTCAGTAAAAGAAAGTTAGAACAGTAAGCAGTAAAATCAGTATATGTTTCAGGTAAGATTAGCAAAATATATTCGAAAGCGAGCTATTTCGTATTTATTTGTCTCCTTAAATTTTCATTGATTAGGGCTATAACACAAGTCCAGTGGATCCATTTATATTTTTACTTTCAACTTTGGTTTATCAACTGTAACTATATTTATTTCCCAAACCCATAATACAGAGTTATATTGTCGAGTGTGTTACTGCCTTAATAATATAGCTAAGAATTGTATTTTCCAAAGTCATGCACTACTAAATCACACTTCACACCTAATTTTATTTATAATAATTTACAAGCCCATAGGCGTGAATATTGTATTACTACAACACATTTTTACAACATGACAGCAACAGTTTGTTATAACCAGTTGGTATAAACATTTTTACGTCAAGTCTACATTCAATGTAGACTAATTTATGTATTTAATAAAATTTATCAAAAATATTACAACAATACAATGGACATGGGCGCTTTACATAGATTAAAATTTATGAACATTTAATGCATTGATATAGAAAAAATAACGCCGACACCATATTCAACAAATGTTTAAAATATATCACAAAATACAAATAAAATCACACTTCTGTCATCATTTTGCTATATTAATATTACAAATAAATCGTTTAAACACATTTTTTACTGTAATATATCATAAATCTAGAACAATCAAAAAGGCAAGAATCTTAATAATTATACAAGCTTATTAAAATTACAAAAAGGTTTTATGCGCTTGATGTTTTAAAATCATAGTTTAGTGTAAATACTCCAGCTTAATAATAAGGTAGTCAGCGTTAAATAATAGTGATAAATAGTTATTTAATTTGTATGCTAAGAATACGGCTTTAAAAAGCACTAAAAGAAAAAATTATGTACGTATAATAAGCACTGATAACGAATAAGTTTGACTTCACTTTTAATGTTCTATAAGTTCCAACTATCAGAGTACAGTCCATTTTTTCATAATATCTTAAGGTAAGGCCATTTTATCGCTAACTTATATAATTTATCAATTTAAATTTTGATCATTAATCGTTTTAAATTAATTAAGGTAAACGCAGTGGTAGCCAGCCAACGCGCTCGTTTGGGAAACCGAGTGAAGCGCATTCAAATACCGGGTTTCGCACCTCTGATATTTTCATATGAGAATTATTTCCAATGTGAGTACCGCTTGTCTTACGGTTAAGGGAAACATCGTGAGGAAACCTGCATGTCTGACGGAACCTAGTAAGGTGTTAAAATGTTCGGTCCGCCAACCCGCACTTAGCTAGCGTGTTGGAGTATAGCTTGATCCTCCTCGCATTGAAGAGAGACCGGATCCCACAATGGGAAGATAAAAAGAGTTGAGTACAATACAGGTTTAAATGTCTCTGGTAGTTCGAGGACGTATTTTCAATATTATAACTATTTAAATTTTCATGTTCCATAATTAATAATGACACTACGAGACTTATGGCCGATTTCACCATTGACACCTAAGTTTAAGGGATACCCTAAGCATGTTTAGGGGGCTGTTAGGGGACAGTTTCTGTTTCACCGACAGTAAGGGGTCACCTAGATGTTAAAATGCCACCTAAATATAAGTACCTACTAGAAATACGGGCTCTGACGATGGTAAAACGAAATTTAATTTAGGGGCTAGTTTAGGGGAACTTTTAAGCTAGGGATCACGTACGTAGGTGGTAGCTTATGGGATGTTGGTGAAATCGGACATTAAACGCGTGAATTCGTAAGTGGCTAAATACCTTATTCCCAACGACGCGGTTTCGACTGGGTTGTCACGGACTGTTCACTTTTCATTTATGTTATGTGGAATGGTAATGTTGCTTATATTTTAAATGCGTTTTACTCAAAGGGCATCACAAAAGTGCTTTATATTATTTATTCAATACAAAATATACACGTTAACTGGAATATTGCAGTAGGATTTGTAGCAGTATGTTATAAAGATATGTATAGATAATGTTTTGTATATATTATATTTTTTTTATCATAATTAAAATTGAAAATTAAAACTGTAAAAGAAAACGAGAATCATTTTAGATGGCAAGATCTTTGCCTTAAATTACATTTTCCCCTTTCTTAATTTTAATTTTCAACATGTTTCTATTTGTGTTTACAACAGACAATTCCGTTAATTTTTTACATGGCAATGATCCAAATCCAAATATGTACATATGAATCAAGTGTGAACTTTAAGAGGGCACCGAGGGAATTACGAAATAATTGCGTTTGTTTCTATAAATTGTACACTTTAGAAACACGATTACTTGTAGTTTCCTCGATAGAAAAAAATCCAAAATGATTTCTAAAAAACAAAATAAACCCTTAGTGCGGCGTAAATAATTCAAGTTCATCAGGTTTTTAATAATAACAAAACTATACGTTTTCTGTAACGTGAACACTTTACATTTTCAAAATGTGCATTTGTTTTAATAATACGAAGGAAATACTAATCTCGCACGCGTTACGTCCATCCTAGCCACCTCCCCCCTGCCCGCTGTCGTCCTACTAAATTAAAATGCTCGGTGCCCTCTTAATATAACATTCAATACTTCTGAATAAAAGCATTAACGCAGATAAACTAAAGTTAAAAAAAATGAATAAATAAAATAAAAATCAAGATGGCAAGATCATAGGAGTTATGTATAACATTTCTTACTTCAAACAGTTAAATTTAATATAATAAAATTTGACATTGTCAATACAGAAAACAATGTTGAAATATAATTTCAAAAAAATTGGCATATTTCATTCTCCCGTATATTTTAGGAATTATTTTGAAGGAATATAAAAAGTATTCTATTTTAATAAATATTATTATGTACTATCAGAAAAAAAGGAATTGAGCATTAATATACTTAAATGCAATATATTAAGCAACGAATCTGAAATATATATTATTTATTTTGCATAATATCATCCAACAACTATAAACTGGTCCACTTTATATGTACCGTGCAATTTAAATTCGTGTAACTTTCTACCACAATAATTTCATTATATTTAATACTTTCTTAGATTTACGCAAATATTTGATATTTTAAATAAAACTGTTTTTTCGGTTTTTTTCGCGGATTTATTTTCATTTTTAATCCTCGATATTTCGGATGTCTTATGGTCACGGTATACATTATGGTTACGAGAGAGACTAAGGTATTAGACGTCTCAAAGGTTATTATATTGTATAGTTCAAGATAACAGCATTCGAAACGTCGGGAACCAAAAATAAAAATGAATTCGCGAAAACATCCGAAAAGATAGTTTTAGTCTTTCTATTTATTTTATCTGTACAATATTTGCGGATATAATCTGTACATTAAAGCGCTTAAATTGGACAAAAATAATAATAAAAGTAGCCTAAATTACTCCTTAAAACATCAACTATCTGTCAGTGAAAGTCCCATCAAAATCTTACAGTCGTTTCGGAGATTAGCGGGAACAAACAGACAAAAATGTTAAACATTGTGTGTTTCTTATAAGTACCATATATAATTTCATATGCATTTAATAAAAAGATGCTATTTTGACAAACAGACACTTCAATTTTATTTATGTGTATAGATGTATAGATTATAATGTATACCACACCACATTAGATCAAAGTGTATTACCACCAATAAATCCAACTAAAATAATACGACGTTTATAATTAATGTGTTACTATTGAAAAGTATTAATATACATCAATAATAACGATACATTTTGGTTTCACATAGTTATATTGACATGTTTTAATTAATGTTTCATATAGATGGTGTTTATTTTATCGATATTAAAAAAAAAAACTATTATAAATTAAATCCATCCTACTAATATTAACTATAATTTAATATTTTAAAATATAAATAAAACTGTTTCAAACTGGCATAAAAATCATTAAAATTTCTATACTACATTAACATTGACTATTTCAAACTAATATATATATTTTAACGGTTTTTTTCTAAAGTTAGGCACAGATACTTGACATGAACACATACAAAACAGAGTAGGTAAGTCACAAAATATCAATATACTCAAAAAAATAAAATAAAAAACAAACACAAGATATTAATATTATGATTTTGTGAACATTTAAAAAATAATAATCAAACCAATACACTTTTATATTTTGATATTATTATAATTTTTTACTGTTACATTAATGTATCGAACGTGTACAATGTACATATTACAATAACGACATTTTTTACAATGTTAATTCGGTGATATTTATTACTTCTCCACTCTGTATTATGTATTATAATATGCATCGATCATAAAAGTACTAGAAACAATCCCATGCACAAGTTCTCTTAAAACTGTCACCAATTGGGTTTAGGTAATTATTCTAGTTGAAATAAATGTACAACAATGTAAATTGAACCTTAATTGCAATGCTTGAAGTTCTTTTCACAAAAAAAAAGCGCGCTAAGATGTTCAAATGAGCGCTCATTCGGTAAGGACATTTTTGTCGCTGATTGTTTATCTAGTACTTTTTTGATCCATGATTATATGAATTATATATGAGACGAGATAGTAAGAGTTAAAATGTTCCTTAACATCGTAATCGATTAACCAAATGGATTTTTTTGCGAATCAATTATGAAAATAGAGGCAAGATAATTTTAAATAAGAAATCGTCTTAATAGCCATAAGCCACACGACTTAGGTAATCAATTGATGTTAGAAAACTAAAAAATGTATGGAAATAAAATGTATAGAATACGTCACGTGGTCTGAATATACAGTTCTACTACATATTGAAGGGTACAGGCAATGAATAGAATATAAGAAAAAAGCAATTTAAAATTTAGAAGTCATAATATTTTTATTGTGATCAAAGTATGCAATAACTATTTACATTACATTTTTTGACAATACTCCTTCTTTACCGGTATGTCTTGGATATTTCTTTCCAGTTCTTTTCGCTTTGGACATAAATAAAAACGTATTATTAGCGATATCCGTTGATTATTTGTAAAAACCAGTGGTTGGGAATGCAATTACCATAGACAAAGATTTGTTACAGTACTGGTAACAAAAAAAAAAGAAAAAATAAAGAAAATTGTGACATTCCCTATTCTTTGCCTTTATAATTTCAACACATTTAGCTTCACTCGTAACTAATTATGATTTCAAATTTATTTTGAGGAGGCTATGTTTTGGTTGATTTTAAGAATTCTGTTATAAAGATAAGTCTACTTTTGGCCACATCACTTTTAGTATGTATATGTATGTTTTTATCACTTATTTATGCAATTAAAAATATAATATTATTTGTTATATTTGGTCAAAAACGTATTTTGTTTTCTTGAAATATTTAAAAACAAAATACGGCGTAAAACGGAAAAAAGACCGACCACGTTTTCTCTTTATACTTGCAGTAACAGCTTTACATATAATACAATATAGATTATATGTTTCTTGCCTCAAATCACCATAATAGAACAATAAGCTACAAATCACATATTTTAGAACATTTTACCAGTTCCCTCTCGTTAGTTGAGTGTCTAAGAGAAGCAAAATCCGCACATTCATAACTGGTCGGGGGTCGTCGCGTGATTCTCTAAGTCTAGCAATTGTTTAATACGTTCCACACACAGATTTGAGCCTTCGTGCGCTTCTCTGGCCATCTGTGAAAAATGTATTGTTTTCTTTAAATGAGATATCGAAGGAATATTTTATATGAGATATTAAAGAAATACTTTTGAAATAAAACTTCTTTTGGCATGACTGAGGGGTAAGTCAGTACATTGGAATAATGAGTGTCGCGGAAGTGAGAGTCAAATTTATTATTCATAATTAAAAAAAAATTATTATATTTATATTATTATTCTTAACGAAAACCCCTGCTTTTTGGAAAACCTGGGACTAACCCAGTTCACTAACTAACCCAGCTGTAGTGATACATAACCATTAGTAACTAGATCAACGAGGCAAATACTTAAAAAAATACAAACGTTTACATTTATAACATTAGTGTATAATAAATAAACATACCAGTGAGAAATTTAAGAATCCATGCGGCAGTCCCTCGAGCACGTCTATACCGACTTCATTGCCCAAACCCTTTAGTTTCTTAGCGAACATCACGCAGTCGTCCAGACACGGGTCGAGGTGCACTGTCTGTGATAGTAATAATAAATATACAAAACATAATACTTTCTTAGATTTACGCGAATATTTGACATTTTAAATAAAACAACCTTTTCGGATTATTTCGCGGATTTATTTTGATTTTTGGTAACCAACCAAACCAACTTTGGTTTAAAACATTGGTATCAAAATAAATCCGCGAAATAATCCGAAAAGCTAATTTTGTTTAAAATATATAAAACATATTTATTATTTATCATATGTTGTTTATATGTACATATGTAATATGAGTCATAAAATATAATGAGTAACAATAAATCGTTAGAGAAATATTCTTATATGAAACATATCATATCTATCTTTAAAACATTTCGATATTCCCTTTATAATATAATTTGAAAATAAAAAATCTGTGTATATAAATAAAACTAGCCATCACTTATCAATTAAATATTTAGGTTAAATAAAAAAAAACAAATGAATAAGAAAAAAGTGTAGTCTTTTGTTTTTATTGGCGAGAAAAATATACTAATAACTAGACATGCGCATCAATAATATTAGCACAGCATAAAAATCCATACAGTTTGCGATCGGCGTTGATCTTACCGCCGCCAAATGCAAAGTTTGTCAAAACTATCAATTTTCATGGCGAACGGTTTTGAAGTTAAAGCGTTATTTACAGTTATTTCCGTCAACCCTGAAGCTATCTCCCGATAGTCATATAAAAGTAAGAATGACACGTCACACCCTCTCCCCCAGAAGATTGCCCTGATTAGAGGCCTTTATAGAAAACCTTCTTTAGACTGTATGTATTAGTAGATTTTTTTTAATAAGAATGGGCTCACTCTTGACCTTCATCTTAGCTCGAAGCATAGATAAGGTCTATGATCAGGAGAAGTCTGTTAAGATTGTGGTATTGATGAAATAATATCTCACCAGTAGCCTAACAGGTGGGAATTTCTTGAGCAACTCTTCATCTGCCCAATATGGCGACAGCAGAGGATCACGTGGCACGGAGAATATGAACTCGTCGGACGGACTACGCGCTATTAGAGCGTCTAGGTTGGATCTCACTGCTAGCCTGTTAATTGTTACATATATTTGTTACAATTATTGTTGGATTTATTGAAGTTAGCTAAGTAGTACTGTCTGTGTATAAGTGTTCGTCAAAAGTAAATAAGTATGGCGCTATCATAGCTAGGGTGTAAATGTTAAAGAAAACGTTAAAAAATATTAGAAAATGTCTAAGATCACCTAATTCATGAAGCGTTTGCCGAACGAACTGTTATTTAATGCTTTTAACTGGAAATTATCAGTTTGATTCATACAAGACAGTCCTTCATACCTTCCATAGATAGATTTTTACAATTGGACAGCTGACACCACTAATTAATTCACATACTTTTTATGAGCTCTTATTGAGCTAAATGTGATTACTCCACAGTTTTTGTATGAAAATAACAACCCGTGACACTTATTTGCCAACAGCCAAGACAGTCAATTTTACAGCTAGTTGAAAATTGGTTGTTGAATTTTTTTGTTCAGGGGTAAAATAAATAGTTTTTTTTAGAGTTCTGTTTTGGAATTATTGGTCAAGAAGGTAATTGTTATACAGTGCTGATCTGAACGACGCTATATGATATAGAAGATTAGTTGTGCAAGTAATAATAAAGATGAAAATATATTAAGAATTTAGATAAATAATAAAATTAAAAATAAATAAATGAAGTAACTACTCACTCTTCCTGCGTGGGCCTTATGTTATTAGAGCCGGTTATATACGCGAGGCGGGACGACATAGCGCCCATTAAGCCGGTCGCTGCTTCACTTATGCTATGACAAAGTATCATAATAACGACATAAAAATATAAGGTTATTTGTCTGTATTCAATAGATAGTAGGTTCTTTTGTCTGGTGCTTATGGCTTCATTTTTTATACTTCCCATACTTATATCTTGCATCATCATTTCATTCAAGCTTTGATGGAATAGAATGCAGTAATAATATTCTAAGCCAATACAGACATGCTGGTTTTTTGCATATTTATAAGCACCACATCTTTTAACTACTAAAGGAATGTTATTTCGATAAATGTTTGTTTAAAAAATCTATTAATATTTTTGACATTTGACAAAATGTTTGAATCGTATTTTTCAGTTGTCAAAAAAGAAAATACATATTCTTTAACTGAATAAATGTAAATTAAAAAACTTACCGTGTCTTCATTCTCTTCTTGTCTTTAAGCTCCTCATCTTGTATTAATGGCGTCTCACCGACTAATGTGCTTGACGTTTCTGACTCGGGTTCCCTAAAAATATATTATTATTGTTTATTATTACATTATATCAAGAAAACTTTAAATATGACGCTTTTTCTGAGAAGTACCCAACAAAATATACATAAATGTAAAAGTTAGTTCGTAACAAAAAAATTAAACAAGTACTAGAATAATGTCTTCGTTAATAAAAGAAGTGAGATCTAAGTGGATACCAAGTACTTTCAAAGTTAATATATAAAATCGCAGCTCTTGTTATGCACACGTTCTTCAGTTGCTTTAATAGAAAATTTATTGCGCGTATCACCGCATCCGTGGAGGGTAGTTTTATGAAACTCCCAGAAACCCCGAAGCGTGCGCTTAAAATGACGACATCTCTAAAGTTTTGTACGGGAACTATAGAAATAACTTATGTCGTTGGAATCGTTATGAAATAACCTAACACCACTAATTCAAATATATAAACTTGCCAAGTTTCTCTATTGAATATACTCATGGACGCAAACACACACACACATACAATAGTATATGTTTTTAATTATATTAAAAAGCAATTTGATGGAGAATGACATACTTCTGTATATTGTTAGGTTTGATGACAGGAAATCGTCTCCCTTCCGAATCGGTGTCGCTGTCGAACACGTACCGCTCCAGGAAGTCCGACACGTACTGTTGGGATTTGTCTTCGTTAGGGGTTATACCTGCGGGTATAAGATGCATCACTACATAGTATAAAACAAAGTCGCTTCCCGCTGTCTGTCTGTCCCTATGTATGCTTAGATCTTTAAAACAACGCAACGGTTTGCGGGATGCGGTTTTTTAATAGATACAGTGATTCAAGAGGAAGGTTTATATGTATAATACATGAATATTATAGTACAGAATAACCGAGAGATTCAAAGATTTCTATTTCTTATTAAACGATTAAACGTACCTAGGAACGAGCGAAGCGAGGGTAAGTCGCTAGTTTTAAGTATAATTTGACTTGTTTTTTGAATAGATTAATCGATTTCCAATCAGCCAATCTCATGAAGATATGCTATGTGCGCAGGATATATTATATTGCAAAATCTATTCTTTTTACTATAAAATGTGGAATAACAATTGGACACGAACGGTGAGAGATAGGTGCAGGCTTTATTATTAATGGAAGGTAATGTAATGGAGCAATTTAATATAATTTCTAGAAAAAGTCAGTCACTGTAAAAATCTTTGCCTTTATATTAATGTAATTCCATTTTTTTTTCATAAAAAAAATCTTTTCAATGGCAATTTTGACCTTATATAATTCGTTTTGTTTTTTGATTTTTTGAAACTATAATCAAGGTTAAGTTTAGTGTTAGTACCAATTTTCGGTTACCTGTTTAATTAATGTGTTATGTGACATGCTATGTATATGTGATGTTTTTTACAACATGATTACTTACCATTTGCCTTACGGTGAAGGAAAACATCGTGAGGAAACCTGCATGTCTGAGAGAACCTAGCAGGGTGTTGAAAGGCACCTGGCCAGGTAGTGGACTATGGCCTAATCCTCTTCGCATTGAAGGGAGGCCCGTTCCCAGCAGTAGGGCTATACATATTAAATAATATGTATGTATGTAATTCCTTACCAGTAGCCGTATGTTCGCTTTGTAACGACGCAGCACTGATGGTAGTATCAGAAGATTTCCTCCTCTCACTCCCGGACTTGTGCGCCTGTAGTTCGGCCAGATCTGATGGTGACACCTCTTCGAATGATGATGGACCTTCGCTTATACCTTCTGTGGATATCCATACTTACTAATGTTATAAATGTGATAGTGTGTTTGTTTGTCTGTCCTTCTTTCACGTCGACACTGAGTGACGGATTGGAGTGATTTTTTGTGTGGAGATAGTTGGAGGGTAGGAGGGATCTATTCCATACTAACCGTTAATGGGTTCGGATTCGTCCCTAGGTACCGCACGTTGTCTAGGAACGAATCCGAGCAAAGCGAGGGTAAGTCGCTAGTTACGAACAGGGCTCGGAAAACCGTTTAATTTTTAGACCGGTTTTGGTCACTGACCCCAATTCCAAACGTTTTAGACGAATTTAGGTTCCCTGACCAAAATTAACCGGTTAAAATGATATTACATTTGGCGCATCTTTGTTAATGGTGAATGACTTAGTAGAAGGATACATGTATGTTTCTTACTTATAAATGAATTAACCTGTTTATTTCGGTATCAAAACCCAAATCCGTTATTGGTTGGTTATTGCTATGGACCTATAAATGATTAACACACTAGAACTTGTTATTAACAATGAAGTTTAAAATGTATTGTTATTATGTTATTGTTGTAAAAAGATATTACTTTTAACCAAGTCAAATAAGAATTTAACCTCGTAATGGCAGGTAATAAGTATAGGAAGGTGCTATGGACTTTATTTGTTTTTGCAGTTTCTCTTATGTATATAATCTGTTATTCCTATCGCAAGTTACACCACAGTCGGATAAGGTTACTGTGCAGGACTTTATTTGTATGTCATATACCTAATTTATGTTAAATTTAGTGTTTGGCATACAAATTTAATAATAAATACATTATTTACCTTGTGACGGGCTAACTTTTAAGAAGCCATTGCCTTCAATCGGTGTAGTCGCATTGGAGGTGCTATTTTCTTTACTTGAGCGTTTATCAATCCCTTTGTTCGGACTGGCGTAAGCTGTAATTGTATGCACGCTGTTATTAATAATATGCAATTATTTTTATATATACATATTTATTGTATGACGATCAAATATTTTTTTCAGATCAAGATTTTTTTGAAAATTAAATTTATTATATTATATATATATTAGGTACATTTTAAAATAAAATAGTCAAATCGTTCCAGTCTTTTTCAAGTGATGCGTTTACCAATGAGATTACACAACAAAGGTCAGATCGGAGAATAGCTGGTTTTAGCATAATTCTTTCATTTCAGCTTAAACTCTTCAAATTTTATTATAATTATTATTTTATCTGAAATATATATAAATTAAGATAAAAACCTTACCTTTAAGACATCTCATCATAAACCCGAAGGGTAGCAAGGGGTCCATCAGGCACAACAGTCTGGCGGGGCTCGGTATAAAGCTAACAAGTAAAGGCGCATACGCCATGAATAGCCCGTCCGGTGGTCGAAGTCCAGCCTTTAATATTTTTAATGTACATCCTGCTATTAGGTTAGCGCCTGCGGAATCGCCTGCGAATACTATTCTTTTACCTGCAAGAACATTAAAAACAATATAATATTGATATTTAATAAATTTAAATATTATGACATACTTTTCAGTTTTATTTATTAAAACTCGAATGTTTTGTTTGCAAAATTCATATATTCATTATTTAAAATCATTAACGCCTAACGTATGGATTTTATTTATACTATGATATTACTATCCATGCACCGTGCGGGAATAATAAACTTACCCGTAGTACCGATTTCTTGGAAATTGCATATCATCCAACAATACGCGTAGAATACTTCCTCTAATGCCCTAGGAAATGGTGCCTGTGGAGCCAAGCTGTAGTCCACAGATAATATAGGCATGTTCAATTTTGCCGCCCATTCACGAAGATACGTTTCATGGGATTTAGAACTTTGTGCTACAAAACCACCCCCATGGCAGTGAAAAATGACGCCTTCGGCTGGCGGTAGAGTTGATCCTTCGCCTGCCTAAAGTTTAAAAAGTGATTGTCGTTAATTCGACATTTACCTCAGCTTGGATTTCAAATTAACATCGATAAAACATTTTTTATTATTATTTACTAGCGGCTCACACTGGCTTCGCTCGGGTTCGTCCCTAGGTATGTTTCAACAGTTTTTATGGAATAGATAGACTATATATTATATACATATATAACCTATAGCCTTTCTCAATAAACGAGCTATGTAATGCAAAAAGAATGTTTCAAATTAGATTAGTAGTTCCTGAGATTAGAGCGCACAATCTAAGAAACTCTGCCTCTTTATAAAATTAGTATACACTAACTGATCCGAAAGACAGACTAAAAATTTCAATAAATATATTTTGGATTTTGTGTTAAATACATACAAAATTAAAAATAAAATAGTATATTATAGTATACATTTACTACTATTATAATAAAAATAGACCAATAAACTTTGGTGTTAACGATTCGTGCCGATAACGTTATAGATTTTTAACACGCTTTTATCATTTTCACGTGTAATTATGTAATCAATTCTTGAAAATCGATTTTAATCCACGTTTAACGTCGTGAAGTTGTATTGATTAGAAACTTTGCATGTATACTCGTATATAATCCAGATGATTATAATAATTTTAATATCGATTTGACCCGATGATGGAATCAGGAGGTGGCATCGTTTGATATCGTATAGTAATCCTTCGAGTTTGGATTCATTTAGATAACCCGAACTCATTACAGTTGAATAAAAGTGTTAGGCAGGGAATGAGCACTAGTAACGCTCTTGGAGAATTATGTGAAGCGGGTTCAAAACCCGGATCTCACTTCTCTAATATTTTCATGTACAAATCATTTTCAACCTGATTTGCCCCTTGCCTTTCGTTAAAGGAAAACAGCGTGACGAAACCTGCACGTCTCATACATTTAAAGTCCTGGGACTGTGGTCTCCCATTAGTATTGAAGGGAGACCCGTTGTCCCCAGCAGTTAGGTAAAAAGCGCGAATTATTATAAAAAGCTTGTTTTTTTTTAAACCGCGACGCAAAAGAGGGGTGTTATAAGTTTAACGTATGTATCTGTGTGTCTGTCAGTGGGATAGTTGCGCCTAAACAGATGAACCGATTTTAATTTAGTTTTGTTTGTTTGAAAGGTAACTTAATCGAGAGTGTTCTGAGTTATAAATCAAGAAAATTCGTTCATCCGTGTGCAAGCTATCAACTCTTTTCTAGACTAGACTAGACTTTGCAACGACTTGGTCCTTGACCAGATGCTGCAGCGTCACTTTTGTATCTATAAGACACTCAACTCTTAACTAATATAATGCAGAGATATCATGTTGAGTTTCAATTTAATTTATTATTAAAACTAAAATTATTACTCACCATTCCAGCTCTTTTGTTAACACTAATTAGCCTAAGATTAAGCCCCTGCAAGCCTATATGTATAGATGGTGGTAGGACTGTCAGTTCTTTGCCTTCTTTATTAGTGACGACTAAGGGCTCAGGGGGTAAAGTTATTATTTTATTAACAGCTACCGTCGATGACATTAAACTTGGCACACGTTTCATTATCTCTGAAAATAAAACATATATATATATATATATATATATATATATATATATATATATATATATATGCGTAGTTTGATAGAATAAATGCAGGTATAAAATTATATCCAATCATAAACTTAGAAAAGCATTGCACGTTGATTGATTAATTTTATTTCCGTTACTCGCATGCTCTGCGATTAGAGTATGTATCATAGCAACCATGATAATGTCGTAGCGTGTTATTTGATAACCTATAATAAAGCTTCCTCAAGAATTGGGCTAAATCAAATGTAAAGACAATATTTTAAACAGAACTAGTATCTTTTAGGATTTTTTGCGAATTTATTTTGATTTTTGGTTTCCGGCGTTTCGAATGCTTTACAATAATCATGGTCACGGGAGAGACTAAGGTTTCAGAGGTCTCAAAGGCCATTATATACTTATTACAGATAGTTTTATTTAAAATATCACGTATTCGCATAAATCTATGAAAGTATTATAAAAAAATATTTATCAAATCCGATTGGTAGTTCCAGAGATTAGCGCGTTCAAACATAAAAACACACAACCTCTTTAGATTCAATATATTAGTGTAGGTACATTTGCAAAATAGAATAAACATTTCAGGCGTCAAATAATATATTCTATATGCTTTGTCTATGTATTATATAAGCTTGAGATATAACATGATAATTCTTATTACATTTCCGTATATAGTAAATAACTGAATTTTAAACCAAAGAAGTGATATGACACGCTTGTTTATTATTTATAATCCAATAATGACGTATTATGTTTCGTAGCAATTTATATAAAGTTGATGATAAATACACTAATAAATAAATAATAATCTAAGTCAAGTTGTAAGTACGTCGTGAATGAAGTTGTTCTTTTACATACAAATCATGAAATAATAAAGTGCTCTTTATAATTTATTATATACATAGTTTTGCCTGCGGCTTTGTCCATAGTAGGTATTACGATTTAGTCTATGACATTTATATTTTACTAGCGGACCCGACAGACGTTGTCCTGTCTACACGTCTTTAATTTGAAAATTTCAACTTTTTTTAATAATTTTTTTGATGAAAATTATTATTCAAATTGTGAATCTAAACCATTCCCAGATCCCCTTGAACACACACAAAAAATTTCATGAAAATTGGTCCAGTCGTTTAGGAGGAGTTCAGTCACATACACACGCACACAAGAAATATATATATTAAGATATACGATATCAGCATAATATATCGAGGCGATCGAACATCGATTTTAATGGTAAAAATAATTTAAAAAATGCTAATTTCCATGGCGAACGGTTTCGAAGTTAAAGAACTGTAGCGCCATCTCGCGAAAAGTTATAGATATACCCGTCATACCTAAAGCCGATTTCCAACTGTCATATTACAATAGAAATCATGTTAATCGGGTGCGCTTGACCCGCGCCTCCCCTGCACGATTGTACTGTCTATAGTTCAATCGCGTCAAGACAATAGTGAATCATCATTGTCCACGGGCCTAGCCACGCCCCAGACCAATTAGGTCGCATAAAATTATAAAGTCAAGTTTATAATGACAGATTGAAGGCAGACTTTCGTAAGAAATAGTTATGTCCTTTGTGCGTTACCTACAATAAATTTTAAAAATGAATACCTCACCTATTTTTAAGAATAAAATGGATCGATAATTCATAGCGGAGAAAGTCGAGTAATTAACAATATTTTTAAGTACTTTAAACTGTGCGAAAAGAATGATTTTGATTCTTTTATTATAAATATAAACGAAGATTCTAGTGATACTGATTAAATATATTATTAATGACTATTTTCATTTGAGATAATTAAGTTAATTTTTGTCCATTAAATTAATCTTTTCTTAATCTTTAGAAATATATTTAAAATCAATTTTTACTCCACTATGAATACACTTTTACCCTGCAGTTGCACTTGTGACTCACTATTTTCTTAGCGCGAATGGACTATAGATGCCTTTGTTAGACAACTGGATTAATATATCAGTGTTATGTTAAGGGGGCACTGAGGCAATTACAAAATAATTGCGTTCATTTGATTCCTTGCTGTATTGTTATTACTAAAACTTTAATTATGCAATTAATATGTAGGATATTTAAGGATTTAATCTATAAATCGTAGACACAAAAAAATCCAAAATGATATCTAAAAAACAAAATGAACCGAACGTAAACTTCTAAAAAACAAAGTAAACAAAAGAAGAAGTTCATGGGGGTTTTTAATAATAACAAGGCTATACGTTTTCTATAACGTATACACTTTACATTTTCAAAATGTGTATATGTTTTAATAATACGAAGGAAATACCTAAATTCTCCTAAGTCCATCCTAGCCCCCCCTGCCCGCCCGCTTGTCGTCCTACTAAAATAAAAAGCTCGGTGCCCTTTAATCTATATTGTGATAATCTTATTATAAATCCAAAATTTGCAACGGGATTTTTTATAAACAATCTAGATAATTTATTTTAATATTTCGTTTGTGAAGACCAATCCACTTAGAGTATTTTTCATACTATTTAACATAATAATGCCAAGTAATCTCAACTTTATTGTACATTTACGCTTACACGCCACTACCAAAGAATTGAATTAAATGCATATATTTGACATGAACAAAAAATTAAAGTATATTAGTTTGAACGTTTTTGCTCTTTAACTGAATGCGGATAATCCTTTATTTAGTTAAAAAGTCACAAATCTTTGCATCATAACATAGTATAGATTAAACTCACTCTGAGTATAGGTATGATTGTTCGGGCTAATCTCAGAAACTACGGTACGGACTTTCTTAAGGTTTTAAATATAACTATCTATTCGGAATTTAATTTATTTAAATTTTTGGTTCCCGAAATTTCGAATGCTTTACAGAAAATGTGGTCACGGGACGGGGTCTTTATTGTTAGTCAATCAAAAAATATGTAGTTTTATTTAAAATATCAAATATTCGCGTAAATCTAAGCAAGTATTTCATGCGGTTTTCATCTACAAAAAGAGGGATTATCTCGAACGGTTATAGTCTATTCTTCTTCTATTTCTATTTATTAATATATCTTCTTCTATTTCTATTTATTAATATATTACGGAAATATGTTACTGGTATGAACAAAGTGAATTAAGTCGGCAAAGCTCGTGAGAACTCGTTGTCAAAGTCGAGAACGATAGACATCAAAGGACGTATGTTTATGATATAATTTTTGTTGGAGTTTACTCCTTTTGAATCGATTTTCATATAAGGCTCTCGGTATGGAAATTTTAAGGGAGTGAAATTAATACAAGCGTTAACTCAAAACTGTTACGTTTTTCTGCGCAACGTACTTTGCGCACCTTACACTTTGAAATATATAGTATTGATGTAATTAATATTCAAAGTGATATTAATTGTGAAGTAAATGAAACTTCCTAACAATGTATTCATGTACTATAAGTAATATATATTTATGTAACGTGAGTATAATATTTTACCAAATCAATATAAAAGATGTGAATAGAATAAAAATACACACATGCTTTCGGTATTATAAGAGACGCGTTTATTTACCCTCTTTACCTATTGCATCAAGGCAACCGTAATTAAGAAGTAAACTTCAATCCTGCGTCGGAACTGACACACACACGCTTCTTTATTTTTTATTAATTTTACGCTTTAGTAATTAGTTTGGCGAAAAAAGGTAAACCACTCACCACTTTCAGCCAGAAACCAGAACGCCTTACAGAATTCAACACTCGCTGATTGTGATATATTAACAATTCTTCTAGCTCTCATTTCGGGATCAATTAAATATTGACCTCCCGTCCATACTGAACTGATCAGGTTCCCATGACTGTAATAGGCTTCTGAAAACCCTGCCATACATATAGATATCCCTTTGAGTATACCACGCATTGAAGGCAAGAACTGAAAGAATACAGAATTTAATAAAAAAATAATAATAATGTTAACTGATGTGGATATGGACTTTGGCTTGGCAATGATAAATAATAATAATACGTTTTTTTAATGAAAATTTAATATTCGTACATTAAATTGAAGATTATAGGAATATTGACGTGCAAGTCTGCTTTGCATAATTTACCTATCTATTTAATACTATACGTATGTCGTATACCTATAATATTATTATCAACAAATGACACTTGTTGATTTAGTCCATGAGTCTTCCGAAAAATTTTACACTTGGCTATGCATATTCTATTGAAAAAATCATTGTATTATATTAATACTATATAATTTATACTTTAAATATCATATTATTTAAGAATACTATTATCTAATTGGATTCTTCTTTGTCATGTTCTACGTCAAAACAGAACGTTATCTATTACGAGTATAAGTAATTTAAACAAATAATAAAATGTCAATAGTAATATCACGGTAATATTACATAATATATCTTATGATTCATTTTATTTAGTGCTATATATTTAAATAAGACAAAAGGCCTTGATCGCAATCACATTTCAATACAATATTAAAAAAAGTCTCTTAATATTTTTTTAACTTCATTGTTTTATTGTTATCTTGTGCCTTTCATACTCAATTATATCGGCTTTGCTTATGTTTGTATGTATGTATGTATGTATGTATGTATACTTAATAATTGTCTCATTGGCTTAGTGGGTAGTATGAAAAATAAAATTGACTTTGCGGCCGATTAAAGATTGGAAAGAGTTGGCTTATATATGTATACAATTAAATAAAAAAGTGTCTGTTTGTAATGTCAGAATAACAGCTTTTTACTAAATACATATGAAAGTTTATACGGTACTTATAAGAAAAAACAATTTTTAAAGTTTTTGCCTGTTTGTTCTGGCCAATTACTGAAATCGGCTGGACCGATTTTAACGGGACTTTCACTGGCAGATAGCTAATATTATAAAGAGTAACTTAGGCTACTTTTATTTTAGAAAAAAGAATTAAGGGATCCGCGCATAAAAATTAAAATCTATGAAATTGTGAACAAAAGCAAAAAAATAGCTTACCTAGAGACGCACACAAGTGACGCGAAGATAAGTAGCTACGAGTAGTATGAATTAAAAAACTGTTTCACCACACAATCGCATGTGTGGAGTGATACCCACTACCTTTATATTTTAATAATTAATTTGACTAAAACATTGTCTAGGGATACATTATATGAGACACCTACTATAATAATGGCTATTGGCTTTGGCATACGGACAGATATTCAATTATTTAATTTATTTATTATTCAGATCGTTACAACTTAGTTTCGTGCTCTCTCGGTGTATATTACTCGTAGTATGATTAAAAATGAAAAAAAAAACCCCCAACCACCTTGGACCGATTTACATTAAACATAGCTAAGAACACTCCCGGCTAATTCACCTTTCAAACAAAAAAAAATCAGTTCATCCATTCGGGAGCTACGATGCCACAGACACACACTTATAACACCCCGTCGATTTTGCGTCGGGGGTTAAAAATACTATCAAAATAAGTCAAATCGATTATTTAAAGTTTAACTGTAACATTTGAGGTTTTTAATATTTGAGTAACCTTGCAAAATATTTACTGATGTGAATGTTAATTATTACTATTGTTCTTTAGTGTGAAGAAATATATGACTGTTGGTTATTTTTGTGTACATTTAACAACAGTTTTAATAGTAAATAAGTGATACTGTTACTGTGGTACTATAACTTCGATATATTTTAAAATTATAAAGTTTTATGTGTTTTATTTATAAAGTAGCGATTCACCCTCGCTTCGCTCGGGTTCGTCCCTAGCTTGTTCACCAATACAAACTTTCATCCCCATTTTCACATCCTTAAGGGGTGACTTATGGGATTAAAGTAGTATAATAAGTATCCTACGTCCTTCCCAGGGTCTCAAACTATCTTCTTACCAAATTTCATCTAAATCCGTTCAATAGATCCAGTGATTACCCCCTACAACGTCACAAACTCACAAACTTTACCTCTTTATAATATTATAGTATAGATGATTACATATTATGTACTTTTAGCATTGTTGTCTGTCCAGAACAGCAATCATTCGGGTCAATAGATTGTACTATCAAAATAATTTTATAGTACCGGAACTAGTTCTACTACAAAAATCTACGTAATGCCCTTCTGACCGATTTCGAAAACGGCGGCCGATCTCACGAAGACTAGCCATGTGCGGAACAATATCTGTAGAAGTTCCTCAAATCACGGTTAGCGCTAAGCACAGCTAAGTTCCAGTTTTCGGGCTTTAATTGACAATTTCCCTACAGAATAGTCTAATAACTGAACTTTCAAGTTCGAATCCACGACTACTGACGGTTTGTAGCCGTCCATGCTAGCCACTAGACCTATAATAATGTGGCATCATATATTTTTAATTTATATTTTATACTAAGAGTTAGCAACGAATTCTGAATATAATGAAGTGTGTTAACTGTTATTTATTTTTCTCTTTTATTTATGCGTACTTGAAATCCAAGACATCTTCCATAAAAGCAATACTGATTTATAGTGTCGGCTTGCGAGAATAGTTCCTCTGGCGAGTGCTCTTCGGTGGGAAACAGTTCCCCTGGCGCCGCCCAAGATAGGAGAGTTTGAAGGTGATGTAAGCAAGTGCCCAAAGAAGCTAACAGTTGTCCACATGATTCGACTTCCCTGAAAACAAAAATCAGAACTAAAAGTCTGTTTTTTAACGTGGAGTAGAACTTCGAAGTAAAACTTATCTGTAATATTAACCTACACTAGGGGGACTCTTAACAAATATGTGTGTAACAATACTGAATCCCGGCGGGAATCTTCTATTTCCCTTTTCTTTAACATTAATGTATCATTATGTTGATAGACGCCATCTGTAATAACTTTGTATATAATAACTTTTGAGAAGCCAATGACCTTAGTTTCCCCCGTGTCCACGATTGGTGTAAAACATGTAAAACGTCGCGAAAATAAAAAATCTAAATAAATCTGCGAAAAAATCCGAAAAGATAGTTTAATTTAAAATCCAAATTACTTATAAACCTAGGACCTAATGATCGCAGCCGTACATACTGGACTGCACTGGATATATTAACAAATTAGCAGAACCCGCGGCTTCGCTCGCGCTAAAACTACAAAAAAACTTCTAAAAAGGTAGTTTCATACAAACTTTCATCCTCTGTTTTACCCTCTTATACGATGAATTTCGAAATGCTAAAACACGTATTTATTTAATTTTTATTTGAAGTGCATTAATACCAAGTTTCAAGTAATTCTGATCAAAACATTTTTTTGGATTGTATTATGAAGTGTTTTCCCGTGGGAATTAGGTAATGTCCCGCGGTAAAAAGTAGCCTATGTCACTCTTCAGCCCTCCAACTATTTCTACACAAAAAATCACGCCAACCCGTCACTTCGTTTCGATGTGAAGGAAGGACAAACAAACAAACATACTTTCTTTAAACATTTATAATATTAAATATAGATATCACTTAAGATTTGTTATCCTAGCGACGAATGGAAAATATTATCAAGGATTAAGCAGTTTTTGTTAATCCTTATTAGCATTCTAATTTGTATATATCTCAGTGAGCAAGGTATGACCTAGCTATATTGAGCTTGCTATTATAATATCTTTATTTCACGTCACGTAACGCGAGTTTGAAACTAAGTTTATGTTCCGAAAAGAGATACCTTTAGGTTACTTTAGTATTGTTAGCGATCCGAGAGCGAGTCATTAGTAGTATGATATATTAAAGTTTGTGATTATATTTTAAGTAGAACAGGTTCAGAAGAAACTTGAATTAGTCTAGTCATCAAGTTCAAAAACGTGTTAAATAGAAGTAAAGCTCCTAAAAATATGTGCGAAAACTCATTCGATTCGGAATGACGTCTAGAAAAATGTTGTTTAAGGGTTTATTAGCACATAAAAAATGCGATTGTTATTAACAAAATAAGATAAAAAAGGTATTTAGTTTTACATTAATAACTTCTAAAATAATGATATTTAAGGAATTTTGAAAAAAGAGCCTGAAAGAGGAGTCTTCCTCTATTATTTATAAAAAAAATTTAACCAAACTTTAAGTAACAATGTTAAACGAAAACACTATAAAATAATCAATTAATTTAAATAAAGTTATTAACAAACTATATTTACGATTTTTACATTTATTATATCTACATTAGTGTGATAAAATTGCTTAAAATGTAATGAGGTATATAGTAACTATTACTATAAATCTTATTCGCTGTAAACTACTGTATAACACAATATACCTACGTATATTTTTATAGCCCGTAGGTAATTACCCCGTAGCCGTACATTTACAATATTTAAGGTTTAATTTTAACAGTTTATACTTTTTACCTGCCTGCCCGTTATTTGTTGTTCATAAATGAAATGAATGCATCATTTAAAAACTGCTGGATGTATTCGAAGTGGTCTTTTCGTATTTTGAATTAAAAATATAACTAAGCTAATTGCAATACGAGTTCAAAGATACAGTATGAGCTCTTCCCTCAATACGCTCTCGTATATAAATCCGGGGTGATGTTTAGTACTCGTACCTACTAAATATACATACCTACCTATTAAGTAACTGATATTATGTTACATTTGTAGAAAAATTTAATTTAAAAATAAATGTAAAATCCTATGCACATTATGAAGGAATTACATATTATACTGTTTTTATGCATATTATTATTTAATTTTATGCATAAATGTTTATTACTCATAAATACTCTAAACCAGCAATTTTATCTGTTTTTGTATGATAACTACATAGTCTGGCCATAAATACTGTTACAATAAAAATAAACAAAATATTACATTTGAATTTGGAATCTGCCATTTTTCTATGATTGTTCATTGTTTTCTCATTTTCGCGCCAATACATTGTAAAATATTTTGTGATATTAAAATGGAGTGGGGTGATAAAGAAAACCGAATCGCTGTGATTGTATTACACAAAGTAGGTATGGAGCCAAATACATTTTTTAAACTCTCCATACGCTTGGTATTAGTCAAATGTTTGTGTACCGGGCTATTAATAGGTACAATGAAACCTCCTGTTTGTGACAGAATAAGATCTGGCCGTCCACGTAGTGTCCGTACGAAAAAGGCGATCAAAGCAGTAAGGGAAAGAATTCGAAGAAATTCTGTCCGAAAGCAAAAGATTTTATCTCGGGAGATGAAGATAGCACCTAGAACCATAACGCGTATTTTAAAAGATGACTTAGGACTTGCAGCCTATAAGAGACGCACTGGTCATTTCTTAACTGATAATTTAAATTGCATTTGCAATGCACTTTATAATTTATATACATATATCCCAAATGTGGGGTATAACATTGGGTATATATTGTGAAATGTCACTAGGGCATTTCCCAACCCTAAAATAAAAATCCCATAAATATTATAAATGCGAAAGTTTGGATGGACGTCTGTTACTCAACCACGTCAGAACGCCAGAATCATACAGAGATAGATTATAGTCTGCAATAGCACATAGGTTACTTTTTATCCCGGAAAAACATGCGGTTCCCGTGGGAAAGATATATTATAGATATTTTTGATGTTCACTAGGGACAAACCCGAGCAAAGCGAGGGCGAGTAGTTAGTATATTATACATATATCCAAAGTGTAAAGTCGTACAATAGTTCAAATATATATTTTACTACAAATACGTAAAATATAGTAAGTAATTAACTTGAGCGACGGCTTCATCCCCCAATCGTTAATAGTCAAAGGTGTTTTCAGAGTAATTATGTACATTTTCAATTTATCCCACGGCTGAGATAAATCATAAGTAGGTCACTTACTAGATATTGCTTAATCGAACGTTTTATTTAACTCCCGCCCACAATTAGTACAGATTGTTGGCGTATTCTTCTATTCAGTTTTTGAATTTAATTCTGGCAAACATTCAAAATTTTCGCATTGTAAAATTCTTATGGATAGTGTAGATAGTTAGTAGTAGCGATTTAAAATATAAATAAATATCAAATAAAACACCGAAATATGTTAATGTGTGTTATTCGTGTATAGCCTAAAAAACGCGACTGCCAAATCACGCTGTCGTGTGGATATGTATTTGTAGAAATTAGAATATTACAAAATAATTCGAAAATTAAATTACGTAAATATTTACAATTTTAAAACCACCAGATTAATATGTGATTATTTTAAGAAATATTATCAAAATCTTAAAGAACCGTAACGGTTTTTTAAATTAAATTTATATTTCCAATATTGTACATATTACAAAAAATAGTATCAGCCATCTTGGAAGCTAAGTAGAAAAAAAATAGCTTAAAAGAAAACAAAAAACTAAAAATGCCGACGTCGGAAAATTAAAAATTGTCCACTAGTAACTCTAGGTAAAGGTCAAGTTTAATATAAAGTTAAAAGTGTAAGCTAAAAAAATATTAAAACTTACTTCACAAAATAACCTTTCCGAAAGAGCAATGCATCTCTCCCAGTGCAGACTTGACGACTCAGCTTCAATCCGTGCAACACGCAAGAATCTACGACGGAAACGAAACTTCGATATCCATTGCCTGGCGATTTTATATCGAAGTCGTACAATGGCGCTACCTACAACAAAATGTTTATAAATAGTACTTTTCCAGTAAATGAGCTTTTAAGAAATCGAAATATTGAATAAATTCAATGAGATATTGCTTTAAAAAAATCGAATTATTAAAAAAAGGTAAACGCACGTTAGATACAACTATATAGGTGGCTAAATTGCCGTTTGCAAAATTGCTATTGTATAACTTTTAAATTAAAATTTTTAAAAACCTGCAACACAAAATTAAACATAAATTCAATAAGAAAATTCAACCCTAAAAAGTTAAAAATAATTTCCATTTAATTACTCCCATTTATAGGCAACTACAGTAACCAAAGTGTTCATTACCCCTTTTGACGAGATTACATAAAATATGTATTGGGATATAACTAATTTTATATGCTCGAATTTTTGTTTACTCAGCAAGGTTAATTTTGCTAATTTTGAGACTAATGAAAAGACAGATATTTGGTAGTTTTATCCTATACAGAACCTAGTTTGTTAACTTATTTACATTCCATTGTTTAATTTAATTTTTCATATATTATTCCACAGGTCACTCAGAACGCTAAACTATTATGTCAAATAAATTTTATTCTCTTAAAGGCCCCTACAAATTGATCTGTGGCCCCAAAGAAGCCTTCAAAGTTGAAGACGGAGCTCCTTTGAGCATGAAAAGGGAGTGCAATTCAAAGAGATACAAATAATTCATCATCATGATTGTATAAATCTTATTAATATAAGTTTCATGTTACATATGTGACAAACTAACATATTTATTATATTTAACAAATTGTTTAATATTAATTTAATAATATCATTTATAGATTGCGTTTCACCTTTTTTATTATTATCATCAGACTGATCCATGACTAATATGCAACTAACATATCATTTAATAGTAATTATTGCTCTCTATTGATCATTAATTATAGTATTATTATTTAGTACATATCTGATTGTTATTTATTTACAAACAAGCAACATACCCACGCTTCACTCGGTTGTGTCCCTAGGTACAAAGATTTTGTTAGCAATTTCATGGGTTTTAATTTTTTTGCACAGAACCCTAATACTTTTTCTTAAATAAAAGTAGCCTCATAAAGTTACTCCATATAACATCAGATATCTGCCAGTGAAAGTCACGTCAAAATCAATGCAGCCACAAACAGACAGACAAACATTTTTAAAATTGTTTTTTTATTATAATTATTAACTACCAAACATACTTTCATCTGCATTTAGTAAAAAGCTGTTATTTTGACATTACAAACACACTTCAATTTGTTTATCTGTATAGATTTTCCTTGTTATTAATTATGCTAACTCTAATATATTTTCATTTTTCCTTAGTGATAACATTATGGTATGGTTCTAGACAATATTTCAATTGTCTAGAAAATAGTTATGAAAAAATTTAATGAATTTTACTGCTTTTTTATTTATACCATTTATAATCCGTATAGTATGTTACAAGATAATCATAAATGACTACAGTTTAATTATAATTTTATTTACTATCTTACACATGTGCCCTACATTAAAACGTAACATGTGCCTTACTTATCTCTTGTGAGTTGTAAACAAATAATGCATTCTTATTTCTTGTGTATATGTATAAAGGAATATGTTATGTTTTAATTACATTATTATTTATAGTTACTGGTTTTTAAAGGATTTGAATAATATAATATCACATGTGATTTCTGTTTTAAATACAAAACAAAAATAGCAAATCTTTGTACCTCCTCTCTTCTCATTATACCCTTTAATTATTTTTTTAAATAATGAAAGAAATATTTTTGTAAGCCAAGTATCAACTGCTCACTAACTAATTGCAATGATAAAAGACAACTTTAATGCTTTAATCAAAATAGAAATAAGTGTTTTTTTAAGTTAGTAGTATATTTAATAATTATGAGTAATTCTTTTCAATTACTACATATTTTAGTATGCTTTATTTAGAAATATTATATTAATTTAAAGCTTACAAATTTTTTTATAATAAATATGACATATTCATTAATTAATTGAGGTGAACATGACAACATTTATGATTTTAAGAAATTCAGAAGTTAAGTACTTAATTAATACATACCTTTCGGACGTGATCAACGAGAGGCCAAACTGTGTCAATATGATCTATGAGCGTCATGAACCCTTGATACAGCCTTTGACCGTTCTCACTATCATCAGGCTGGAAGTATGTAGCATTATTTTGACAGGAATCTTTTAAAGCTTCATACATTGCATAAGTAGGAGGAGCATTTTCGACAGATTCTTCGCAGCACAATGATGCTTTCGCAGGTGGATCCGAAAACTCCATATTTTTATAAAATTTTCCACAGCCTGTGGCGTAACGTAATCCACGACTCAATAATCTAAGACTCATCTACAAAACGTTCGCAATATAAAAACCAAATCATTAAGAACTTTACAAAAATCAGCACCCAATGTATTTACAAAATAATCCGTGAGCAAATATCATCGTATTCTTACAATACGATAAATTTTCTATATCAATTTCAGAAATATTTGTTTACTTCTACAGAACTTTACGTTTAGCTTTGTTGTTAATATTCATCGCTATTTTAAATAATATTATGTGTTTTTCTTTTCTAACTGAAACCAATCGCGACTAAACCGAACGAATGATAAACACAGATTGATTAAATGTCATTGACAGAAGAATGACAGACAGCAGCTGATGGTTGATTCATTTAAAAAAATATATAAATGTAAAATGAAATAGATGAAAAGTGATGAGCTTATGTATTAAGGCATAAAAACCCATATTATTTTTACATCATTTATTTTATATAAAATATTCCATTCTATTATTTATTTATAAGTCTTAATTTAACATGCTTTTATTATATGACAACCTATTACATGAATTGGAATACTATACACTTAAAATGACATTTGAATTTTGATTTAGATATTGTACCTATTTTGATTTTTTACATATTATAAAATGTAATTTAATAAATAATGTAATGTTATGAATGAAGATAATATAAAAATGGAAGAGCAAATGATAATTGATGAACCCGAGGTAGCCCCGACAGAAAATGGACTTGAATCAAAAGAATTAAATACATTTCAGTACCCACCTTTATTTTCTAGTAAAACGCTATTAGAACTCTGTAATTCTTCTTGGTCTCGTTCGTGTAATGCCAGACAGGAAGTACAGCCTTATTTACGAGGGTGTAAGTGGTCTCCAGATGGTACTTGTTGTTTAACAATTGTTAATAATGATGGAGTTCATGTTACTGAGTTACCTAAGGATTTATACTTCGGATCTGTAACTGCTGATAGAACTATCGACGTATTAGACTCTGTAATACATATAAAAGAAGCTGGTCTAGTATATGACTTTTGTTGGTATCCTCATATGAATTCTTCCCTTCCTGAAAGTTGTTGGTAAGTAATAGGGGATCTAAATATATTTTAAGTTTACCTCTTAATTAAAATATAAAGACTGTCTTTCTTATAAAGTAATTTAATAAACAATTAGGAGGATATATTATATAAAAAAAGATATAAATATATCTTAAATTTAGTGTTTTTTAAATATCTTATAATTTTAGTTGGCTTACGACAAGACAAAATGCACCAGTGCAATTATGGGATGCTTTTGATGGCTCCTTGAGAAGTTCATACCGAGGTTATAATGCAGTAGATGAAATGGAGCCTGCTCTTTGTGTTACATTTAATCCTGAAGGCAATAGAATTATTGCAGGATATAAGAAAGTGTTAAGGACATTTGACATAGAGAAGTAATAAATCAATTGTATTAGTGTTTACATAGTGTTATTAAATATATGTAAATAATGTAAATTCATATGTTTTTTTAATTACAGGCCTGGAAGGGATTTTTCAGAGCATAAAATTAATTCCCCAGCATCTTGTTTGGCAACAGATAATAATTTACTAGCTGTAGGTTCTTGGAATACTTCTATTACTCTTTATAATATGAATGAATTGGGGACTTTTAAGAGTATTGGCAAAATGCATGGACATTCTGGTAATTATTTTAAAAATTAAAAAAAAAAACTTGTTTTTGTGCACTTAAGAAAACTATTTTGTACATTGTTAGATTTTAAATAGATAAGATTATATTTATTTATATTGTGTATGTAAGATGTGTGTGTATATTTCAATTACAGGTGGTGTTACTCACATAAAATTTACACCAGATGGTATGAAATTAGTTTCCGGTTCTAGAAAAGATGATAAACTGCTTATTTGGGATATTCGTTATTACACAAGACCATTAAATATTCTTAGCAGGGAAGTGAACACTAATCAAAGGATTTATTTTGATATATCACCTTGTGGCAGATATTTGGTTACTGGAGGAACAGATGGAGTTGTAAAAGTTTGGGATGTGAATAAAGTAAATTGGCAAGAAAGTTTAGATGCAACAGATGATAGTAAGAGCACTGCCACTTTTAAGGTTGGTTTATAAAAGTTATTTTAATCTCGATAGCTCATTTAGTTATATTTTGTACTAGCGGCTCACTTCTAGAAAAATAAAAACAAATCTATCCCACGGGAATTGATAATTTTCCGGGATAAAAAGTGTAGTCTATGTGTTATTATGATGTATGAGCTTTATTATTGTGAAATTTTCTTAGATTTAAAAAAAATGTGTTTTTGTTACAGTCAGTACTTGTTTTCCATACATCTATACATCGAGACATAGTAGTATGATATAATATAGCATTTATTAATTCAATTATCAATATTGTTATCATATTTATAAAGATAATTAACTTGCTAGCAAACAAGTGTGGATTGCGGAATTCTGCTTTCACTAAACTTAGAACTTATTTCTTTTTTGTGTATGGTATATAAGTAAACCAATTTCTTTTTCTTTAAATTCAACCTACAATAGATAACCTAGGAGATCTTCACTACTACATTCATGAACTACAAATCTAAAATTGTAATTATTTTTTCAGTTTCCTTTACACAACGACTGTTGCAACAGCATATCAATCCACCCGATAAGACCAATTCTAGCAACTGGTTCGGGTCAATATCATTTTGACAATCCCATTTCTATCTTACATTGTGATATCAAGAAGGAAGATTCTGAAGAAGTAAATCAGGAAGAATCAATAAATAGTGAAATGAAATATTCAAGTAATGTTGAAAACAGTTTAGTGTTTTGTTGGATTGGAGACATCCCTGATATGACTTAATCATTGATATTAAAAACTTGATATAAACATATAGTATGATTTAATTTGATTTTTTATGGGTGTTAAGTTTCTCTGTTTTATCAGTTGACTTGATAAAAGAAGAAGACACTTAATTCGGGGATGTGTTTTTCCTAAATATAAAGATATCTTCTACAATTGTAATATATGTGTTATAGCTCAAGAAGAGTACTAACTATCATATGTATTTCAACGGGTGGATTAATTAATTCTATAGCTGGTTTGAAATTACTTTGCCTTTTAAATTAAAAAGTGATTATTCTTTGAGTTTAATGTGCTAATAGCCTATGACTATACCAACTTGTTAATAACCGATCAGAAAAGTACTGGATACAAAATCGCATGCAAAATTTTTGAAGTTGTTTTCACAAAAAAAGTACATATTTTTGAGATAAAAAGTAACCTGTGTGTTGACACACGAAAAATAGGCGCATAGTCGTCGAGTTGCGGAAAATAGCCCGAACATACTTTACCCATATATATATATATATATATATATATATATATATATATATATATATATATATATATATATATATATATATATATATATTATACCATAAATAGCCGTTTTGGCGTGATTGAGTAACAAACATCCATCCAAATTTTCGCATTTATAATATTAATGGGATTAAACATTACAGACATTTCCACAATAGTACAGAGTTAACACAAAAACACAACTATTCAAATAATGCGTTGTATCTTATAAATAATAATATGTATACAAATTTTTTGCTGACCCTGTCATTTTTATTTATATAACGTCATTTGGCAAGTTATATCTACATATTTTGGACGATGTAGGTATATATGGAAGATGTTAACGTTGAAGGTTTCATGAGATACATACATCTTTACTATATTAGCGACGTGAAGTTGTGTCAATTATTTCACATAAAACAGAATTTTAAACCACTTACTTTCTTAATGCTGTGGTCATTACCTATTTATAGGTCGGTTGCACAGGATAAATCTTTGTAATAACTAAGTATACACAAGTTTTCCCTGATAGATTATGGTAAACTGAGTTTATACTAAACGAGACACGAGATACTTTATTTATTAATGTATGTATGTGTAGAACTCGGGAAATGAAGCAGAAAGATACTACGATATTAATGTAATATTGGGTCATCTGTGCTACGAATATACAGTTCTGTCACGTACCTGTAAGAAATGCGTGAGATGCTGATTTAAAATGTTATTATTTTGATTACTTCGTATTTCATGACAGTAGCAAAATAAATAATGCTAGCGTAAATAAAAATACTTACCTTTTTATTTCCGAACTAGTGACTTACCGTCCATCCCCAGGTACGTTTAAATAGATATAAATAGTTATTGCGGGTGTACCTTACGAGAAAGACTTAGGCTATTGCAGATTTTTTTGGAGGCCTTATAAGACCTACAATTTTCTAGTACATTGTTTTGATGTATCTCATAAGGTTTAGCCAGCGTTATACATGTAAATTTCTAATTACGACTCGATACATAGTGTTTTTCCGTGGGAATGAAAGATTTTCGTGTTGTAAAAGATATCCTAAATGTTGACCCGAGTAAAAAGTTATCGCTACGTAACATTTCTTTAGTTAAAATCGATTCAGTACAATTTTTGCGTGAAACGCTCACACATCGATTTTTGCTAAGTTTAACCGTTTTATTATATGTTTACAGATTATGAGAACTGACCTAAATAATACAATATACATACGTGTACATTTATACAAACGAAAAAAACTAGAATTTAAGAATTGTGTTCTGATATTAGAATCTATTCTGGACGTAAAGAAGCCGTCTAAGCATAATGTAGCCTTCCCATAGGAAAACCAGCAAGGACAGTTAAAAATGAATATACGTTACTTGGAATAATCCCGATGGGCCTTGAATTTAGCTCAACTTTATGTACTACATATAATAAATCTATTTTTCTCATTATTAAAGGTAAAGAAATTAATTTGGCTATATACCTTTATTAGTATTTTTTTTCTTTTTTTATATCATTAAAATTGTGTGATTGAGAAGTTTTCGCTGAGAACATACATAATTTATTATTAGGAAATGATTCATAATGACAAGTAAGTAATTAATTTACTAGAAAAAAAATGATTACTCAATTGTATTGGTACTTAAAATAATCAAAACAGAACAAATGTACTTCTTTCTCCTGGGCAAACTTGCTAGATCGTAGACCTTATCTGTGCCTTCGAGCTAAGATGAAGGTCAAGAGAAAGCCCATTTCTAAATAAAAAAAAAATTAATTAGGTACCTACTGCATATATAAGTTACTTATAACTTCCCCGTTAAATACACAAGTAACCAGCTGCCTTCAGTCACTAAAAGGTTGATTTCTTTAGCGTACACCGAGTAAATTAGATAATTTACAGTGGTAACTAAATAAAAAAAAGATACGATAGTATTCAGCCCTTTTTATTGTCCCACATGGGCACGAGCCTTTATTCAATACGAGGGGGATCAGGCCAAAGTAGGTCTATGCTGGCCAAGTGCGGGTTGGTAGACTTCACATGTCTTTCGAAAAGCCTAGCTAGGTTCTCTCAAACATGCAGGTTTCCTCACGATGTTTTCCTTCACAGTAAGACAATTATTAAACATGTTCGGAATCCGCTTCAATCGGTTTTCCAAGCGAGCGCGTTACGGAATTTAATTTATTTCTCAAATTAAATTTATTAAAATGTAAATCGAAGGGTTTACTGGTTTAAGTTAATATTCAGGACAACCAACTCCAACAAATCGTTTATCGCATTATCAAAGTTTTCGTTGGTCCTCAAAGGAAGAGAGAGCCGGCCATAAGTCGTTGAGATAATATTTTCTTGCCTTAATTACGCTTAGCGGTCAAGTTACTAAAACTACATCACTACCTAGTACCTACTATACAGGTTATTGGTAATCCAACGTATTCCCGTTAGTTAGGAGGTGATAGGGTTGAATATTTGCGATAATTCTAACCCCCATATGCATTAGGTATGCAAAAGTGAACCATTGTAGAGTTATCAATGTTTTTCAGATTTTTTCGAAATAAGTCAAAAATTTAACATCAATAATTTATAAAAAAAGTATCAATTTAAATCTCATTTTTTCTTCTGATTTATAAAAACGATTAAACATTGGTTATATTTATCAATATTAGAAGAACAATTACCGGTCCAAATTTAAAAATGCGAGACGAAAAACAATAATTAAATTGTTGTTGTGTTATTGTATTAGAATTTTGATTTTGTATTAGGTTGGAAAATATGGTAATTTCTGAAAGCTTCTGTATTTTTTTTATTATAAATGCGAAGGGCATCTAGGGATGCAAGCAAACTAAATGAGGATGGGCTACAAGTATATAATACATGGATAATGGAATAAGCATTTGTATTAGGTAAAATTTACGTAATCAACTCTGAAAGTTGTAACTTACATTGAAATTGACCAATAAATGCAATGAATGTAGAGCTTCGTTTCTACTTTGATAATAATTAATACGAACTCGCGTACAGTACCTAATAAGTTTTTATCTGTTAATGTTATACGAGAGATATTGCTTATTACGGACACAACACGGAGGTTTTTATTTTTTTTAATAACAATATAATAGGTAGGTACCGAACTTAGATAATCAACTCTTGTTTTGGCAACATGCCTAGTTGGCACTTATGCACTGACATACATACATATTTAGTTGGTAGAACCAAGAGTCCCGTACGATACGATACGCTTAATTTTTATTGAATTCATCATGGTAGATGCATATTGTAATGCACCATCGTTCAAACGTTGCCGATTGCCGAATCATATTTTTACTTTATTTTTATTTAGAGTAAACTTATTCTTCTAAAACATTATGACATGCCAGTTTCATTGTATATTAATAGCCAAACTACTATTCATAAACGTGTGATAGCAATGTACTTAATTTTTAATTTTATTGGCTTACTTTATTAGTCGATTGAACTTAACATGTAAAAGTTTTGGGTATGAAACATTTTTACATCTTCGTTTCTCTAGACATTAAGTCTTTGAAGGAAAAATCTAAGTGAAAGTTAAAATTTCAATAGACATTACTAGATACATAAATAATATTGTTTTGAGCTTATAATTTTTGTTTTTAGTTTATTACTTAAAGTTAAATTATTTTTTCTTTATTGAATACTAGCGATTCACCCCCGCTTCACTCGGGTTCGTCCTTGGGTTGCTTCCTCATACAAACTTCCATCCCCATCTTCACCCCCTTAAGAAATGATTTCCGGGATACTAACTATTTCATCTAAATCGGTCCAGTAGTTTCGGAGCTTATTAGGTAAAATAAACAAACAAATAAAAAAATCTTTCATCTTTATAATATTAGCTGAAAATGGAATTACATTAAAAATGAATACTTTGTTGTGGTAAGGCCACATTTATGTATTTTTAGAACACCTATCAAAACGATTTTTTTGGTCTTAAATTATCTTATTACTTAGTTAATACTTAATACTCAATAACAGTATGATTTATTTATAACGTAGGTAACAATTCCCTTTCTCTAACTATGGGGAGGCATATAGAGAAAAGAAATATTTTCAGCTAACAATAAACAATAAGAGCAATACAACGGTGAAATGGCACATGTAAACAGTTCTCCCTTTGATGTACGAGATTCAATAGATTTTCTGTTCATTAAATACGAATAAATATTAAAAGAAAGCAGCTATTTTGTTGTGGACCTTTTTATGCGTTATATTCAACTTTGCTCTATTTTTATTTTAGCTTTATGTATTGTATAGATTATGTTTTACGTACTTAAATAAATACAACAAATGTCACTGAACTGCTTGAACTGAATTCATTGTTTAAATAAGGAATGTTAAAATTGGGTCTCACATTATTAGTAGTGAGATTAATGATGAATAATGATTTAGAAAAATAGAATAACTTATTATTTTTTTAGCCTGAGAAAAAATATTTTCTTCTACACATATATACTAAAAAGTCCC